ACTAGAATGTTGGCCCTTTGTTTCTCATAGATCGTCTTTATTGTATTTGTAAAATTTTGTCCAAATTCCATTATGTTCAATTGTTGCTTTATAAACTCCCAATTCAAATTGTCGAAGGCCTTCTGTGCATCTAAAAAGACTAATGCTACCTCTTTTTCCGGATGTTCCTCGTAATATTCTAGCACATCCAGGATCGTCCTAGTGTTATTCCTTATATGCCTCCCTGGGAGGAATCCGTTCTGATCACTATGTATTATCTTATTTAGAATTTTTTTTAGTCTTTCCGCTAATATATTCATATATATTTTATAATCCGTGTTAAGAAGTGAAATTGGCCGGTAATTCTGTATCAATTTGGTGTTCGATCCCTCTTTTGGTAAAAGTATAATATAAGCCTCTCTCCAGGATTCTGGTATTTTGTTTTTCATTAGGGCCTCATTGAAAATTTGTAGCATTCTTGGGAGTAGGATATCTTCTAATTCTAAATTTTTGTATAGTTCCCCTGGGAATCCATCCGGGCCCGGGGATTTGTTCTTTTTCAATTTGGCAATTGCAGTCTTTACCTCTGTTAGTGTAATCTCTTTGTTTAATATTTCTTTTTCCTCCTCTCCAATCTGTGGCATTCCCTCCTCCAATAAATATTGTTTTACTTTCTCTTTGGATATATCCTCTTCCTTATATAAAGACGCATAAAAATTGTATGCTATCTCCAATTTTTTTTCTTCCTTAGTTGTGGTATGACCTTCAGTGTCTTCAAGTTGAAAAATGATTCCTTTCTCTTTCTCCTTTTTAATTCTGTAAGATAACCACCTTCCTGGCTTGTTGGCATTCTCGAAGTAATATTGTTTTGTTCTCTTAATGTTAAATGCAAGTTTTTCTTGATCCATTATATTTAATTTATGACGGATATTCATCCAGTTTGCTTTTATTACTTCATTGTCAGGGTTTATTTGAGCCTCTTTCTCTGCCTTTGCCAGTTCTTCTAGTAATATTCTTAGAGATTCTCTCCTCTCTTTATTTCTGAACGCTCCATAAGATATCATTAGGCCTCTTAAATAGGCCTTCATCGTATCCCAGATTATCCCCGGGTTCGTTGGTTCTTTTTCATTTTCTTCAAAAAAGATTTCTAATTCCTTCTTGACTTTGTCGATATTTTTTTTGTCTCGTAAAAATTGTGTGTTCATTCTCCACCTTGTGTTTTTTCTCTTATATGTACTCTTCCATCTAATTTCCAGTGGATTATGATCTGCCCAGGTATTAGGTAAGATTTCCACTGACTCAATGTCCATACCCAAGTTCCTGCTTACCCACATCATGTCTATTCTGGACCATGATTTGTTGGGATTAGAGTAGAAGGTATACTGTCTCTTGTTGGGGTGTAGTGTTCGCCAAATATCCACGAGATTTAATTCATCGACTAAGTCAAAAAAGGTTTTTGGTAGGTTTTTCCTCATTTTCTTTTGACCTCTGGGTCTTTTGTGATCTTTATGCGCATCGACCACTCCATTAAAATCTCCAATGATGCAAACATTATTGTTGTCCAGTCCTCTTATTATATCTCTTGTTTTACTATAAAACTCTTTCAAATTTTTATTTGGGGCATAGATCGCTACTATTAAAATTGTTGCATTGCCTCTCTCGATTTCGACAATTAGTAATCTCCCTTTGGGGTCTGCATACTTCAATTTCGTCTTCATCTCCTTTCTAATATATAGTACCACCCCTCTCTTTTTCTTCGTAGCTAAAGAGGTATACAGATTCCCCAGTTTTTTATTATCCAAATATTTTATGTGTTCTTGTTTAATATGTACCTCCTGGAGGCATACAATATCAGCATTTTGTGTAACTAATTTGTTAAAGAAAATTTTTCTTTTTTTATGATCGTTAAGTCCGTTTACGTTAATTGATATAATTTTCCAGTCGTCCATCCTTTTTACTTTCTGTTGATTTACTTAAATTTGATGTTAGTATTAGCTCGAACTGCTCTTTGAGGCCTTTGTTGCTTTCCTGCTTCTCTTCTTTCTTTCTCTTCCTTTTCTTTCTCACCTAAGCTCTCTTTCCCCGTCAAAGCCTCTTCTTGGGAGCTTTTCTGGGTGAGTTCTTCTTCTGTAGTGCCAGCTTCCAGTTCCTCTTTACTACTTTGTTCGTCTTCTGACCCTCTCAGATGGTCAAGGAATTCTTGTGCCTCCACCAGGCTGTTTATTTTAATCCTCCTTCCTTGCCAGGTGATCAGCATCCCCTCCGGCAAGGTCCATCTAAAAAGTATATTCCTTTTATTTAGCTGTGAGGCCAGGAATCTGTAGTCTCTCCTTTGTTCTCTCACCCTCCTCGGCACTTGCTTCAGGACAATCACCTCTTTTTCCTTGTAATTAATCGGTTCTTCTTTTACCATTTTATAAAAGATATCCCTCACTTTCTTACGTGCGAACCTTATGTGCACCTCTCTAGGTAGATTGTTCCGTCTAGCATAGTTAGTTTGTATTCTATACACCTCATCCAGCTCTTTTATTATATCATTTGAATCCTGTTGGAGCACCTCCGCTATTATTTCGGCCATTACTTGGCCTAGATTTTCGTCCTTGTCCTCTATCACGTTTTGGAAGCGCAAATAGAAAGAGGCCTTGTCCATTTCCAATTGTATAATCGCTTCCTCCAGATCCCTATTCTGTGCCATTAATTTTTGATCCACTGTTTCTAGGTCTTTCTCTTGTTGTTCGACTTTAGATTCTATCTTACCTATTCTCTGTTCGTTATTTGAAATGGCTTGTTGTATGTCACCTATTTTCTGGTCAATGCCTTGTATGTCTATTTTGATTTCCTGGTGGTTGTTGGTCATTTTTTCTTGCATTAGAAGCATTGTTTCTTGAATCGTTACTAGTGATGCCTGCATCGCTTGCATTGTTGGAATCACTGATGCCTTCTCCGTTTTTGATAGCCCTTCCATCGATTTCTGAGTTGCAGGAGACGACATTGTAATTGTAGGGCTTGAAACACTGGGAGTTATTTTCTTTCCTGTTTTTGCCACAGTGGATGCAAAACTTGTCATCTCCCTGAGGACCTTCGCCTGTTCTTTGACTATCCTTTCTATGTTCCTCCACACTGTCATCCACTAGTTACCTTCCCTTGTTTGGTTAACAATACTGAGGAGGAAAGAGTTTTTGAGGCTATTCCCAATTCACCAGACAGGTAGAGATAAGGTTTTAACCTTTCCTCCGCTATGCTACCCACAACTTGGCTTTATTAACTATTCCTTATTTGGAAGCAGCGTTTCTAGTTTGGCTCAATTCTTAATTAGCAATTAATTGGGTTCTTGAATCTTAAAGGCCTTTCAATACCAATACATATGATCGTTAGAATAATACTTAATATCCAGTCATTAAGCACTTAATTAATTGGTGTTATAAATTAAATCACTGTTTTATAAAAAAATTTGTCCTTAAGAATATTAGTAATCTTAAGACACCATAATCAATCAATAACCATAGAAGAAAAAAAAAATAGCTAATAACTAAATAGTAGATATATAAATAGGTAAATAGGTAAATGGTTAGATAAGTATATATATAAATGAGTCAATAGATAAATAAGTAAGAAATAAAAAATAGTGCGCTCTAATATAGCTATGCTAATATTTATATATATTAATAGAATATATTATATATATTAATTAATTTGTTTTTTTATATTACTACTTCTAATACCCTAAACTTCTATATGCTTTAAATACTTTGAATCCTTAAGATACTTATATAAATATTATAAATACTTTAAATGTGTAAAGAGAAAAAGAAAAAAAAAAAAAGAGGAACAAATATATATATATTGTGGTTTTAGACTATTTTTAAAATAATAACAAAATGTATTAATATAAATTTAAATTCTAGTCCTCTTAGTCCCTTCGAGTGCCACCTTTATTAAAGCTTATTGTTGGAAAATACGTTAATTACTGCACCCTTCTACTTCTCACTTCTTCAGAATCTTCAACTCCTTGTAAAAGTTAGTTTAATTGTTCTGTTAATTCTCTTCCTGGTGCTTCTTCTTTCCTCTCTAGCTTTTCGCTGTTCTTCTCGTTGGTATCAAGTATGGTTGCACTTCCGGTCCTAAATTTCCGGTCACTCTCCTCAGTCAGCAGAATCTCTTCCCCACATCCTCCAAGCTCGATCTGTACAGCAAATTAAATCCAAAAAAAAAGGCTAGTGCCGCTGGTCCGCTGCCGATCTCCCTTCCTTCCTTCTTGCCTTCTTGCCGGCCTGTCTGCGATCTCGCTGTCACTCCTCCTCCTCTCTTTCAATCGCCGCTTTTTCCCTCTTTGAGCCCTTCCGCTCCGATCCAGCCAGCAATGCTTTATTCGCTCCTCCGATGACTAGCGCGCTCTGGGGTAGGTGGTTACCGATGTTCTTGTCTCACTTCCCGGAATCTTTGCTTTCCCTCTTGTTGGCTATCGTGGCTTCGGGTCTGCCATTGAAAGGCAGACGCGCCCCGTTGGTTTGACAGCGGGAATCGGTCGTGCCGGGTGGGTTTGCACACCGCCACTCGACTCACCGAAGCCCCACTATAGTCCGCGAAGCCCTCCAAGCTTCCACGCCTCGAACGGTCTCCAAAACAGTGCGTTAGGTGGCAGTGGGAGAGAGCAAGCACTCTCACCACGCCATGACACCACGCGTCACCAGCCGGAACCCCAACACTGGAAGTTTTTAAGAAGAGATTTGTCTGAAATGATATAGGGTTTCCTACCTAAGCAGGGGGTTGAACTAGAAGACCTCCTAGGTCCCTTCCAACTCTGTTATTCTATTCTATTCTATTCTATTCTATTCTATTCTATTCTATTCTATTCTATTCTATTCTATTCTATTCTATTCTATTCTATTCCATTCCATTCCATTCCATTCCATTCTCTCTTGAAATCTCTTGCTCTGCTCTGATAAAAAGTATAAGCAAACAATCTTTTTAACTGCTAAAATAAATACATTTTTTCATTACTTTTATCAAGTATAATTCACCTGTTCTTGAAGTCTCCTTTCCAGCTGATCTATTAGTCCCAAAGTATCTTGAACACCGACTTCTGCCAATTCAGTCCGAAATGCTGTTAAAAGAATATCCTTTTCTTTTTGGAAAATTTGTTGAACAGCATAGAGCAGTTCAGCCCGCCAATCTGAGACATCATCAGAAGATTCAGATGCTACATAAAACTAGGGGAGAACAAAAGTAATAATGTAGAAATATATAAAAGCTTTAAAAATATTTTTTTATGGTTTATATAATATTTATGTTATTGAAAATTCTTAGCTCTCTCACTTTTTTCATTTAATTAATATAATGACTTCCAGTAGTCTTAAGAACAGATTTATGACTATAGGTTATCATATAAACTTTGGTAATTTTAGCAACTCTTGTTTTATATGAACTTTTTTTCCTTTCCCCATCATGGAAGATTTCCCATTTCAGACATATTCATCTCTGGAATTCCAAATCAGAGACCCAATACATTTGCAGACTGGGGAAGGCTGCTTTAACCTCTTTAAAGTCACTACTGAGAAAAATTGTGAAACTGAAGATTAGTGTTAAAACAGAGGTCAAAAATATTATTATCAAGCTTTATTTTTTTCCTCTAGAATCTCTGTACTGAAATTTACTATTACATGACTAAAACTATACTGTAGTACACATTTGCCCAGACATATGAAAGACTGGACTGATAACAATTTTTTGAAAAATGAGACTAGAATTTGTCTCAGCTGGTTAAATAAAAGAAGCACTTTCAAGAGATTCAAAAATAATTTTATAATATATTTATAGAAGCATAAATATTTCTATAACTAGAGAATAATCAGGCAAAAGTAACCAGAACCAATCATCAATAATTTCAACACAAGTTTTATTGCTGGTCACTTAAGTTACAAGCATTTTGCCAGACTGACTGCATTCCCTTAAGGATGGCAAGATTCAAGGATTCTGGAGGAGACTTGGCCTATGCCACTTGCTGCAGTGCAACTACTATAAACTCTGATCCCTCTTGATCCTTCCCTTCATTTTAGCTGGAGATTCCATCACATTAATAGAATATTTCATAATTTATGTATGTAGGTTGGTAAAATGAGGACCCAGATTGTTGGGAGCAATATGCTGACTCTGTAAACCGCTTAGAGAAGGCTGTAAAGCACTGTGAAGTGGTATATAAATCTAACTGCTATTGCTAAAATATAACCATTCTGTGATCATAATTACCTTGGTTTGTCTGTGAATCTGCATTTTGGCAATTAATTCCTTCAGAGATGAAATACTGCTTAAGAAAGCCTTGCGTTCTTCTAGCCAAGGTACTAGTTCTTTTTTAGTAGGAAGAACTTCACCTTCATTGTAAGGAAATTCTGTGAGAGAAAGTACCTGCACGCCCTCGTGATGAATAGCTCTTAGCAAACCCTGGGGGAAAAACATCAGATACGATAGAATGGAGAATGAATCATTACTATTCATAACTATTCCTTTTCCAATGTTTAGAAACTACTTTTAAGAATGTGTAGGTGGGAGTGGAAGAAAAGAAAAAGAAGAACATTTTAGTTAGAATTGATAAATAATTTAAATCATGGTAGGTATCTGGATGGTATCATGAAACTGCAAGGATTTTTTTTTACTGCAATTGTTTTTTTATTTAAGGTCTTATTCACCTTGATTTTCTTTGGAAGAAAATCCATTGTTTCACCTTCCTCTCCTACAGCATCTGATATGGTTTCTGATCCATGGCTTGGAGTCAGGTATGTTTCTTGGTTCCAGTCTGAAGCAGAGTCTGAAATAATAAGTCAAACTCAGCTGACAAATCATAAATATATAGTTTTTCCAAGGTTTTAATAATCACTCTGAAAATAAAGTTAACCAATATGCTCTTCCAGAAAATTAATATTCTCTTACCACAATATGATCTATCATTGGCAACAGAAGTTACCGACTGTGCTATACCCGGGATTGCCTAAAATGGAACAGAAATTACAGTTGACAATATGATTCTATAAATAAGAACTTCTGTTTCAATAGCTCAACTTAAAAGTACAGCAAACTCATCAGCACAATACAATTTTTATTTTAACCAACAATATAAAAACATTCAGAAACAGATTTGGATACGTTAATTAATTACTGCTAGACAATCCAAGATCAAACGGTGTCATTGGTGTGGTGCCTTAATAACATTTTTAGAGCAATGAAAATTTTATCTATGAAAAACCAAGTATTGTTAGTATTTTACATAGCACATACCTCTTTATTTCTTAGAACATCTATAACATTTTTCAAAGCATTACATTCTTCTGTTAACTCCTGTACTGCAATAAATTGTTCTCTTTTCAATACTTCTGATTCTGAGATGTGTCTCATTTCCATGTCCATTATTTCAGCAGCATGTAATTCCTGCATTTGTTCAATTTTTTCATTAAATTCTTTTATGAGTTCTGTAACTTCTGCTGAAGAATATTCGTTTTGTAAATCAATCTGAATTCCTTCACTTTTCACAAGGAGTTGTGAAGTCTGGTTGCAGCTACTGATCTGCTGTGCTTTTTCAGTCTGACTTGATGCATTTATCCATTTGGCATCTATTTGCTCTGGTTTTATAATATTCTTTTCCTTCTTTATATATCCAGCAATTTTTTCTTCTGCTTGTGCTAATTTATCCCTGATATACTCTAATTCATCTTTAAGACAAATCAGGTTTCTTTCTTTTACCTGTAAACAAACAAAAGTTCAGATGCGTCCAAACTCTCTCCTTCAGAAAGAAGATACAACTAGTATGATCTTTTTAAACCACCCAGTTCTTCGCAAATATTTTGAAGTGATAGCTACTCATAAGTATACATTTTGGACCTACTTGTAATTTTGCTGCTCTATATTCTCCTTCCACTACAGAAACTAATGAATATCATTATATCACTAGTTATTAATAGGTAGCAAGTTTAAATTTTATTTTTCATTATTAAAACACAAGTGATATACTGTACAAATTTAAGAATGATGTACTGAGCATGATGTGGGGAGCAGGGCACAGCATATAAGAGTAACTAAGCGATGATATTCAGGAACATATTGAGACTCACAAGCTGAGAAACATGGAAACAGCCTAACTGTATATGAACAACAAGCAGTCAATGAACACAGCGAGCAAATTTAAATGTGGTACAGTAATTAAGATGTTGGATTGGCACAGGTTCAAATCTTAGCGACAGGAACTCATTTTGCAACTTCCAGCCAGCTCCCCCCCTCCCAACCTAGCCTACTTCACAGGATTTTTTTTTTTTCTTGTGGGGAAAAATGGGAAGAGGGACCACTATACATTTTGGGCTCGTGAATGGAAAACAAAATAAAAATAAAAGAAATAAAAAATAAGACCATTACATTCTTCTGTTGCTAATAAACCTTTGCTAATAATGTTTGCCACCTGTCCTATAGATTTTATTTAGTAAATTTTATTTAGTCTGGACTATTGCCTGTAATAAAAATTTGATCTGAATTATATTAATTGCTTGTCATATTTTTCTATCTATAAATCACATTTTAAGATTATTGCTAGTCTTCCTTAAAGTGTAGATATAAATCATTCTCAATGTTTACTTTTACATAAAAGCCTCAGTAAAAAAGCTCTTAATTGCTTACTGAATTACTGACAAATCATGCAAATAAAAAAAAATCATCACAGTAAATCTTCTGAATATTTGAAAGTTTAGTTGTAGATTGATTACATGAAGATAACATGACAGTATAAAAAACAGCTATGTAATAATCATAGAACTGAAATTCTCTACAAAGTCCACCCAATGTGCTTTTAGTTACTTAATGCTTTTATTTTGCACCCTTCAAATACTTTGCTCCCAGCAACTTTTAGTGCAAAGTGCAACAGATGTTTATTTTATTCTTACCAGTAACTGTCCTTTCAATTTCTCTGCTTTTTCTTTGTAGTTATTAAGCTCTTCCTTGGCTGCAGCTGACTCCGCTCTGACTTTTTCTAATTCAAGATAATTTCCTTGCTTGTTTTCATCCAGCTCTGTGACCACCTAAAGTATTAGTGCCAAAATAGTAATTCATGTGAGTATGAACCAACTTATGGACATGAATTTAGTATTTCTTAGTTACCATGTTAAGGTAGTATCTCACATTGGTAGTGGTTTAAAAGTATAATGGAGGATGAGTCTTGACTTAAATTAACCCTTGGCATAAAGATTTAAGCATTTCCCGAGTTTACTGCCCAATGAAAGTGGCTACTCGTATGCAACTAAGATGGTAGAAACATATATGCACGTTCCTGGCTAGATGGCTCAGTGGCTAAGATGCTGAGCTTGTTGAAAGGTCGGCAGTTCGGTGGTTCAAATCCCTAGTATAGATCTCCTGTGTGAGCAGGGGATTGGACTACATGACCTCCAAGCTCCCTTCCAACTCTGTTAATGTTACGTATGTTGGTAAAGTATCACCAGTTTTTGCAATAAAAGGTAACCAAAAATAATGGCTTTATTATCCATGCATCACTTTTGTTAAATGTCTGGTGATGGGCCAATTAAACAGTTTAATGCTGTTTTATATATGTTATTGGTATTTTATATTATGGTTCTTTTATTATTTGAACTTGTACATGGAGTTTTATTCCTCATAAAGGTAATATAGAAATACTTTTTTCCATTCAGTTTCAGTTTCAGTTTCTGCATTTTCAACAGTTACAGCCCCATTTCTCCCAATGTTTGAAGAATTACTGACTCATTTAATATTTGAAGAAAACAATTTCAAGCCATACATACCTGAGTTTGCAACTTTTCCTGACAACTTGACAATTTCTCTTCTTTATGCCTTTGTTCTATTTCTTTTAGCAGTTGTTTAAGTTCAACAAGTTTCTCTTCCTTTTCTTTTGTCTCCTTCTGTACATTTTCCAGTTTTGTTCTTTCTAGTTGAAGGTTATTTTGTGCATCTGTCAATTGGCTCTGCATCTCTGAAAGTTTCTCTGATAGCTCTAATAACCTAGTTGTTGCATCTTCCCTATCTATATATTTTGCATTTTCTAATGGAATACATAGGGCTTCTTCGTTACCTTCTGAAACTGCAGCTACCAGGGGAGAAAGCTGACTTTGCTCCAGAACCACATTCAATTCAGCTTGATGTTGAAGGGTTGCAGCAATCTTTTGTTCCTTTTGTTCAAGGTCTTCTTCTAGCTCCATTATTCTTTGTTTGAGCTGGTCTGATGCCATATGGGCTTGGTCTTTGAAATCCTTGAAATCCTTGTTGCATTGGATTAACTCCAAATCCTTCTCCTCTAGAGCTTTCTCAAGTACCTGAAAATTTATACTTGTTCTAGAAGCATCTTCTTCAAGCTTTGTATTTATTTGTGCATCTTGTTGTTGGCATATGTTTATATTTTGTTTAGATTTTTCTCTAGCTTTTTCAAGTTCTTCTTTCAGTGTATCTAGTTCTTTCTCTAATTTTACTATGTTAATTTGTTTTCTTTCAAGTTCATTCTTTGCAATGCATAACTGCTTAACATTATTTTCCACTTGTATCACTAAATCTTCCTTTTCTGCCAATACAACATCAAGCTGGTGTTTTAAATTATCAAAATCATCTTGAGTCAGTGAAAAGTCCAAAGGTATCTTGTGTTCAATATTCTCCATTTCCTGCTGGAGTTTTTCAATGACTTCATTTAGCTGTTCTATTTCTTGTTCATTGTTCTGCTTGACACGTTCTTGATCACTCTTTAAAATTTCTATTTGGGCTTCCAGTTCTTTTATGTGCTCATTTTTCTGCTCAAACAACTAAGCAGAATTGAGATAAAAACAAAGAAAAAATATTATGAAGGGCAAGAATTCTCATTTTTATGTCACTAATTATATTTCTTTGTATTAAATATATGTATTTAAAATTCTGTATACCAATGCTTTTTATATGAAATTTGTAAAAACTAAATCAGAGTAATTCTTATTTTATTTAAGTAAAATAAGATAAATATTTCATTCAGATGTTGTCTTTTAATGTGTTATGGGGGGTACTGATCACTTTATGCATTTAAAAAACCTGTTTAGTTATGTTTAGTTTAGTTTAAAAGCTCTCCACTATGAGAAAATAATTGGCAGGAAAAATAACACAAACCAACTACTAACAATTACAACTACCAGAAACTGTACCAGTTGTGAAAGTTCTACTATGTCACAAACTGTAAATAAAGAGAGGAATGATATGGAATATTAAATATATATTACAAAGTATCTTTAATAAGCATCCATGCAAATTCTATTTTGAAGTAGAATTATGTGTATTTTAGTCCCTGTTCTAACATGTTTGTTACTTGCTTAAAGGGATGGCGTCACTAAGGATTCCATAAATTATTACTTTATTATCTGTTGTAATTTCCATCTGCTGTTGCAATTTTGAAATTTGGTCTTGCAGTTCATGGATTTTTTGTTCCTTTTCCTGTATAATCTCTATATATTTTCCAGGAACTTGATGATGACCCTTTATAGAAGTATCTTCAGGGTTCTGGATAGCTTGACCCAATTGTTTCATGTCCTCCTACAGATAAAAAACAGCACAGAAAGATTTGTAGATTCCCTTCACTCATTATTTTCATTTTATCAGAGGAATAAACTGAAACAAGAAAATATTTTCAAATACCATTTTATAAATAGTTAAATACTTCAAGATTTTAAACTTTTTCATAATATTCAGATTTCATAAACTCACGTTGTTTAAAACAGGAAAGAAAAACATGGTTTCTTCTCAGATAATACCTTAAATAATTTATTTTCTTGTTCAAGTTCTTGTTGTCGAGTTGTAGACTCTTTTAGCTGAATTTGTAGCTGCATCTGTAACTGCTGCACTTCTTCGTTTTTGTTTTCTAGTTCTTCACGGAACTGTTCTAACTGTTCTTCAAGATTTACGATCTGTATATCCAAAATAAGTAGCAATGGAATAATTTATTTTATGTAAACAAGAACAAATTTTTTTAGCAGTACTTGTTTTGAGGAATAAGATACTATACTAAACATTTTCTTGTAAATATTAAAAAGACATCCTCAAACTTTCAAGCATAAAATATGATTTATTCATATATTCTCAGCATTACAAAGATGAGAGGGAACATTTGATAATTTAAAAATAAACAGATAATCCTAGGTTGGAATTATACAAGAATTTTTAATATAATTTGGGTATATTTTAAATGTATCTCAGTGAATAACCTGTTTAGCATGATATTTTTTTTGTTTATACATGATTTAATCCATCAATGAAGATCTAAATCATTGCCATTTCTCTTATCTAAGAAAATGAAATAGCAAAATCATGTTGATTTATCTTCTGTGTTGATTCTTGGCAAACAACTTCCAATGCAGTTTATGTTACTTTATTAATATAGGATACTTAGAGAAATTTCAAATATTTGGTTCATTTTCATTTTTTCATTTCATTTTATTAGATTTCTATACCGCCCTACTCCCGAAGGACTCAGGGCGGTGCACAGACAAACAATAAAAACACATACAATACAAAATTTAAAAAATAGAATAAAATCAAATTAAATAATTTTGGCCCCGACAAATTTAAAACCCCAAACTTTTAAAACCAATTTAAAATTGAATATATAAAATACTAAAAAATATTTAAAATTTTAAAAATCTTTTATAAAAGAGGGGGAAAATTAGGCCAGGCCGGCCTGGTGAAATAGTAAGGACTTTAAGGCGTGGCGGAAGGTGCGCAGATCCGGGATCCTCCGTATCTCTGGGGGGAGCTCGTTCCAGATAGTAGGTGCCCCCACAGAGAAGGCTCTCCCCCTGGGGGCCGCCAGTCGGCATTGTTTGGCTGACGGCATCCGGAGGAGCCCCTCTCTATGGGAGCGTACCGGCCGGTGGGAGGCTATTGGTGGTAGTAGGCGGTCCCTTAGTACCGGGTCCTAAGCCATGGAGCGCTTTAAAGGTGGTAACCAGAACCTTGAAGCGCACCCGGAAGACCACCGGGAGCCAGTGCAGCTCGCGCAGGAGGGGTGTTACATGGGAACACCATGTCGCTCCCATTACCACCCACGCGGCCGCACTCTGCGCCAGTTGGAGCCTCCGGGTGCTCCTCAAGGGGAGCCCCATGTAGAGAGCGTTGCAATAGTCCAGGCGGGAGGTGACAAGGGCATGAGTGACCGTGCGTAACGAGTCCCGATCCAGAAAGGGACGCAACTGGCGAATCAGGCGAACCTAATGAAAAATCCTCCTGGTCACGGCTGTCAAGTGCTCTTCTAAAGACAGCCGTGAATCCAGGACGACGCCCAAGTTGCGAGCCCTCTCTGTGGGGGCCAATGATTCGCCCCCAATAGTCAGTGATGGCGTCAACTGACTATATCGGGACGTCGGAAACCACAGCCACTCGGTCTTGGATGGGTTGAGCCTGAGCCTGTTCCTCCCCGTCCAGATCCGTACGGCCTCCAGGCACCAGGACATCACTTCAAGGGCATCGTTGGGGTGATCCGGGGTGGAGATGTACAGCTGGGTGTCGTCAGCGTACTGATGGTAGTCCACCCCGAAACCACGGATGATCTCGTCGATTTATCTCGGTTAAAAGTCAGTATGGTCCTCAGAATAATTAAAAATATCTTATAATGTGTGTTGAGTACATAATGATACTATATCCTAATATTTATGGTGGAGATTAGAGCTGCATTTGTTTTAGGTTGTTTCGGATGACTAAACATATAAAATAAAATACATGGACCTACATACTATTCAAACTCTCCTGTCTGTTTGTAACCTTCAATTGGGTGTGTATCTCATAGGCCAACTTTTTTTGAATCAAGGTATTTCAAATGGGCTATGTGTCCAAAATCTGGGGTCTACTTCTCCTGTGGGATTGAAATTTCAAGGATCCTAAGGCCAATTGTAGTGACGAAGTAGTGCCCTGCAGCACTTTCTCACCACCCTGCAATGCTGCTGAAGCCAGGTGTGGTTTCTAATGCTGCCTGCCAGCTTTGCACGAACAAAGCCAATGGCAAAGCTGCCAGCAAGCTGGAAGTTGTTTTCCTCTCACATAAAGGCACTGCTTTTATGTCTACACATGGTAATTTTATTTATCTATTTAGATAAGGAAATATTTTTGAAACAATGAATGAATGGGTCATGGGTTATCTAGTAATAAAATAAATGCAAAATGTTTTTTTTTTTACTTACACATTTGTTTTTACTCCCTCTGAATAATTTTCTATAGGTTTAATACACTTTTTTGAACACTACAATGATCAACACAAACCCAAGTTTTGTTTATAGAGAACCATGAATTCCTTTGTTCCAAAGGTGCTTTTCCAGAAGGCAACTGGACCTTTTTGGGTTTTTTTTCTTGAATATGTTTTGCTTATCATCAAAGAAGCATCTTCAATTCAGTCAGATCTGAAAAAGCTTCTTGGAGGAGAAGTGACATGTTTTCAAGGAAAAAACCAAGAAAGTCCAATTGCCTTTTGTGTAAGCACTTTTGGGACAACCATGACTTGGATAATTAAGAATCTGCATAGATATGAATTCCTTTACACCTCATATGCTGAATTCAATTCAAAGTAGTGAAAGTTCTCAATAATTAAAAAAAAATACTCTACCTCTTTTTCCTTCCTGTCTACAGCTTCTTGCTCAGCCTGTAGCTGTACTTCTAGAGGCAAGTCCCTCCTTATAGTTGCAGACCCAAATTTCTTTCTTCCTTCCACCTTTAAAGTAAGTATATTTAACTATCATTTCTTTAAGTCATATTTCTTTCATTATTAAGTAAAGCAAGTTACATTGATAATAACACTGCATAAATAATTCTAAATGAAACAGACTACTGAAAAATACCTTTTGTATATTGTCTGCACTGATCATTAAAGCTTGTTCCAGTTCTTGAATTCTATATTCTAATTTCTCAATTTCTTCATTCCGTTCTTGCACATCTCTCTGAAGTTGCTCCTTAGAGAGCAGAAGCTCATTACATTTATCTGTTTTCTCCTGAAGATTATTTGTTAACTCTTCAACCTGGTGGCAAACCAGAGGAAATGCATTCTAATATAGGCTATGTTTCAAACACAAATTTGCTACAAATTGTGGTAAGTTAAAATTGTGTGAAATAGGAAAAGAGAAGGATGTACATGTATTAAAAAAAACTTAATGTCTGGAGAAATCACAAGCAACCAAAATCAAATAAATAAAGGGAAATCAGAAAAATAAAGCTGTTCCTGAACGCTAGAAGGGGGCAGATCTCACCACTGGCAGCAAAATATTCCAAAGAGTGGGGGCCACTGCAAAAAAGACTCTTATCTTGGACCACACCTAACCAAAATTCCTTGGCTGATGGGATCCATAGTAGGCTTTTACTGCTGGTGTGAGTGAGGCAGGTTGATCCTATTGGGGAAAGATGGTTCCTCAGAGATTTTGGACCAATGTCATAAAGGGCATTAAAAGTAATGACCAATACATAATCTAAGGATAGATGACCAATACCCATCTAAAAGTAAACTGTAGAATTCTTAATATTGTGGCATAGGTTTTTAGATATTATTTCAGCAAGTATTATACTGAGATTACAAACATATCCACAGGCATACACAAACATGAAAACATAGAGCTCTGCTAATGTGAATATTTGATGATATAAGTCCTTCCATGTTCGATTTATAATTTTCGATGTTATAAGTCCTTCAATGCTCAAGTTATAACAGAACTATTCTCTATTGGAATTTGTGGCTTTTAGGCTACATTGTGTGTTTGTCTATGATGTATGTATACGTGTGTGTGTGTATCCTAATTCATTCAGCAACTCTGCAAAGTTGCAACAGAGATCAAAAAGTAGACAGGCAACCCATGCCCGAAGTTATGGCAAAATGATCAAAATTCAAGTGCTTGGTAGCCTGACTGCAATTACAAATGCAGGGGCACTTCAACTCCCCATTACCTGCCTATCTCCCCCCCAATCTCTGCCCTTTTGGTCATCCTGCACCATGGTTAGAAGCATGGCAAACAGTCCCAAACCATGTGGCCCTGGGGCCCATTTCCACACCCCAGGAAGCTTCAGCTACCACTACACAACCCAACAAACATCAGCAAGCCTTGTTGTCTTCTCTCCCAGTTCCTTGCAATAATTTCTCACCCAGTTTTTGCACCCAGCTACCCGTTGAAAATATAAACAACTCACTGCCTTGTCTTTGGACCTGTGGCTACCATGCTACTTCAGGCACACCAGTTTCTCCAGCAAGCGCTCATGTGGCTCTCCAGCCCACTTGAGCAGTGTGGCACCAAGCTGCAGCATCCATGAACCCCAGTAAGAACCAGCAAGCTTTAATTCACCTAGCTACCTTCTCTCCCATTTGCCTACACCAACCTTTGCACTTTTCACACCCAACCAGATGCAGCCAGAATCGAAGCACTTCCTTGTCTCCTGTTTGAACCCAGTTTCTCTGGTGAATGTTTCCCACATTCCCTAAGCCTTTGGAAAGCTATATGTCTTTGGAAAGCTGTGCTTCTTTTGGAAGATGGGAGAAGTTGGAGGCAGTCCCTTACCTTACTGAAGCTCAGGGCAGGGAAGGAACAAAGCTTGTCTTGGGATGGATACTTAATGGTCCACAATTCCTGGTTAACAGTTGTAATGGGGGATTGCCACCCTAAATTGCTGTGGTCACATGATATCTCACAACTACAATTATAACTGTGCTACTTAGCAATGAAAATTCTCATGTCGATATGGTTGTAAGCTAAGAACTACCTGTTTGTAATGGTTCTAAGGATATGAGGGGGTTCTTTTGGGAAAAGTACAAACTGGCAATGAACAGACTATTTTTTCCCTTCTTCTGTGTTTTCCCAGGAAGCTTTTTCTAAAAAAAAAATCCCCTCCCACACAGCCATAGTTTACACATTCTTTGCAATATTTGTGTTTTACCATACTTTGTAAATCTTATTTTAATTACCGTAAAAATTACCATAAAAAGTGGCTTAAACACAGAATAGCACGTCATTGAATTGAAACATATGTATATATACCCATTAAGATTCTGTAGAGTCTCATCATTAATTCTCAAAAAGCCATGTTAGCCTTTATCCCCTTTATCTTACCTCTCTATTTTGTTGTTCACTGACTGGTTGAAATCTTTGAGGAATTTTAAGCTGTTGCTCAAGCTTTTGTATTTCTTGCTGGAAAACATCTCTCTCATGCTCCCTATCAATTGCCTGTTCCTGAAATGTAAGCCATTATATATATATATATATATTTATATTTCAATGGGAAATATCAAAATGTTATGCACAATACAGAAAGTGCTCAACCCTGTGACCATTTGTTCAATGACTATTCAAAGTTACAATGGTATTGAATGAATCGGGGTTATGACTGGCTGTCGCAGTATCTCCATGGACATGTGATCATAATCTGGGTACTTGGCAACCAGTTTCACTTACTACCTGTTTCCAAATAATAATGAAGATAACATGATTGCCATTTGCAAATCTTCTTCTGGCTTCCGTAGAAGGTCAATGGCAAAACTGGCAGGGTAGATGACAACTCACTAGGATAAGTTTCCTCAGCTCCTCTGCTGTCATGCTGCACCAGCCACTCATGCACCCCACACAGCCTCCCTGATCCTCTCTTGCACCCCTGTGCAACCTCCCTGATCCATGCTGCAACCACCCACAACCTCCTTGACCTGCAGTCACTTTCGTGCATCCCTTTACATCCTCCCATCTCTTGTGCAGCCATGACTGCATGGCAGTTTCCTCAGTTGTTTGTTTCCTCACACACTCCCTGACATAACACTTCTCACTTTTGTCTGCACAAAACTTCACTCTCTCCCCACCGGGCAACAACCACTTACCTGCCTGCCGGTTTGGGATTTACAACTTCCTGCTGGCTTCTCATATGACTTTGGTTGTTAGAAATTGGCAGGAAGTTGCTCAGATAATGACTATGGGATTCAGTTAACAAGAGCAACTGGGCCTGCAAGGACTGCTGTTGCTAAGCTTAGTGTGAAAATTTCTGGTCCCAATTGCTGTTGTAAGTCAAGGATTACTTGTATTTTGTTTTCAACTTATTATAAAATATAATAGGAAACACTGTGATGTCTTAAGCTAACTCCATAAAACCTTAGTAATTATTTGTGATAATTTAGAGTGTGACAAGAATTGACTGTATGTATGTGTGTGTGTGTATTGCTATTCTTATGGAACATGAACCCCTTTCCATACATTTACATACAACATTGCACAACGTAGACAAGCAATACACAAAGTAATAGCATCTAATTTTTCAGATCCTTTGCAATGTAAAGATTATAGTGCTAAATGTGATCTTTGATAGTAATCAATTTGTTTACATTACAAAAAAAATCCAAGTAGATTCTCAGCAAATATATAAAATCAATGACAATTTTAGCATAAAATTATGCTATTTGTTATGTCAGAAAGATTGTAATTAATTTTACAAACTTTTTACATAGAAATCATTTTAGGTTTGAAAAGCTAGGGAAGTCCAATTCTACTTGATATACCGTATTTTTCGGAATATAAGACGCACCTACCTTTTTTGGTGAGTAAAACAAGAAAAAGAAACCTGCCTCTGCCTCTGCTTCCCAGCAATTTTGTCTCTTTGCATCAAACAGCAATCAGCTTGCTTTACTTTCATTTTCGTTTTCAGCATAGCTTGTTTAGCACAAGGAAAAAAAAAACCCTGCTCCAGCAATTTACCTCATTGCAGCAAGGAGCAGAGGCATGGCAAAACAGCTGAGAGCAAAACAGCTGAGTGTTGGGAGGGTGATCCAATCAACTTGTGCTAATTAGGCTGTGCTGAAGCTGAAAGGAGCTGTTTCTTCTTGCTGCTTACAGCAAGGAGGTAACTGCTGGGAAGCAGAGGCCAAAGGGTGAGGGCCAGTGGGTGGGTGGGGCTACATTCGGTGTATAAGACGCATCTAAATTTTCACACTCTTTTTTGGGGGGGAGGGGGAGGTGCATCTTATACTCCTAAAAATACGGTACTTTAAATTGTCTCAACGCTCTACTCCTGAATCAAGGCTTTTTAAAGGGTTCATGCTGAGATTGATTCAAACTAAAACCATTGTTCACAGGAACAGGGTTTACAATGATAACCTTGTGTATCTTAAATTTATCATATTTTAAAAAGGAAAACAGCCATCTTATTTATTTATTTTTTTACAAAAAATATTTTTTTTAAAGTATAAACTATGTATGACATAAGCATTTTAATGAATTGTGCTAATTGGGTTTTTGTTGAACTGAGCTCATCATTTTACTTACATCTAGAAATTTTTTTGTTTTCTCAAGCTGTTTATCTAGAGCTTGATTTTGCTGCCTTAGATCCATTAGCTCTGCATTTTTTTCTTGCTCTAGCTCCAAAAACTGGTTGACCTGCTCCTCTATATCAGTTTCCAGGGCCTTCACCTGCTTTTGAAGGTAATTGTATTCTTTTTCAGCCTGCCGCTGCACTTCTATTTTTTCTTTCATTAACTTTTCTGTCTCCGCCAGCAACTCTGTTTAATAAAGCATAACTTGTTATGTATGGATAGTTAATATTGTTCTATAAAATAAACTTACTCCCAAGATTACGCTACAGCATAATAAAGGATGAAAATAACTTTGGGTTTCATCAAAATTATGTGATATTCTCAATAAACAGAAGTAATAATAATGTCTGCATAGTTTAACTTTCCTGATAGAATTATTCTACGTTTATTTTCATTAATACTGCAGAAAATGTACAATGGCATTAAAACCCAACTGTCTTCTCATCCTGTAGGGCTGTTCCAATTGAAACATAAATATTCCCACAAATGACACATACAACATTTTGATGTAAAATAATTTAGACCTTCACCTGGTGAGTTATAAGAAGAAAAAAAACCCAGATATTTCTTACCTTCATCTGAAATTTTCAATCAGTTTACTTCCTCCCTCCAATTTTTTAAAAGAAACTTTTAAAAGAAAAATGGAAAAAACTGAAGAACTTAGGGATATATGGTGAGGGAGCTATGGCTGCAGATATACTGTACATTCCATACTGCTCCAGTATCACTGGAATTTTAACATGATTTTGGGTGTTATATTACTTCTATCCAGTATTTGGGTAATTCTCATATCCCAATAACCTCTTGGGAATTGCACTAATAGTGGCAAGAAGCATCCTGTGATTTTTTTTAAAAAAAATATATGATCTGAAACTTCAGATAATACTTAGCAGCATATGAAACTTCACATGCCAGGACAATTCCCAATTTACTGAGGTAACATCAAAGGGGAATACATTGCTTAACGTTACATATATAATCAGAAATAATGGGAATATAATTTATGTTATATTTCAATCATTCAATTGGTATACATGCTGTAATCACAAATCATTTCTTGATTGAGAAATATTAAAAATAATAATTTTTGGATTTAAGTCTTTGCCAAATGAATAAAAAAACATCACCAGATAACGGTCTTTTCGCAGGGTTTGTTTGCGTCTTATTGTGTAGATTTTTGTACCCATCATTTTACATCATACTTGCTTCTTCAAATATCACACACGAAGGGAGAGTTTTATTTGACAAAGATCTCTATTTTCATTTTATTATACGAATGCAGAAATTATTAGCTGATTAAGATGATGGTTATTGAAGTAATCTGCATTTTTAAAATATTAATATAGCATACTATATAATTGTGAGCAGTTGTTATTCAAAATAAAAGTGTGAACATGAAACACAGTATCAAAGCAGCAGGCCAGTAAAGTTAATGTCAATAAGCTGAAAGCCCAAAGAGAGACCATGATTAACAAGTGTCAATAGCTGTTAAATCTTCCACCCAATGAAAGATTTGCCATGCAATATACAAACACACCTGTTTGGGAAGCTGCATTGACTGCAGCATCTACTAGGCCTAGGAGAACAGAAAAAAAAACAAGAAGCAAAGTAATTCACATGCCATCTATAGCTTTCTCAAGCTGAAATATTATATGAGAAAAATGAAGCTGAAGACAGAATATAGAGTTCAGTAAAATGCCCAGTGAATTAAAAAAAAGTGACATTGATTTATTAAACATAACTGTTCGATATTTTTCCATATTTCCACTTATTTTTCTCTAAAATGTTACAAACAGCTATTCACATAATACTTTTATTATATATTATACATTATTATTTTATTATATTGTTGAATTAAAAAGTGGCATACCTTTCTGCCATTTTTCTTATCTTCTCTTTTGCTTTATATCTATCCAATGTATCTATCACACCTCTTCAGTCTTTTATACCTTCCATCCTCATCATTGCCAATTTGTACATACTTAACATACTCATTTTATCTTTTGCCATTAGGCACAACATGACCACCATCCTCTCTCTCTGAAACCAGATTTGCTGCCAGTCTTCCTTCTCCCCAGTGCTTAACATCTCTCCCCTCAAAAGGTTTTTCCACAACATGTGTGCTCTGAACAAAGTGTGTGTGCTGCACTTCAGGCATAGACTACCCAATAGTGCCTAATCCATGCAGAGAAAGCTACATGAAAATAATGCTTTGCATATCCATAATCCATTCTGACTGATCTTTTAACAGAATATAAATTTTTAAAAATCTGTTCAATCCATGCATCTATTTAATGAGTTATGTTAACATTATGGATAAATGTGCTTGATGCTCCAGTTCAATTTTAAAAGGTAAAAAAGGAGAATAGTTCCTTTCTCAGTTCTGCTGATAAAAGCAATTACATTAAAGAACTGCACTAAATCTTGCTAAATATAAAATGAGTTATTAATGCCCTTCCATCTATAAAAGCAACCTACAAATTATATAAAAGCAGATGCAAAATTGAGTGAATGACTGTTCCCAATAAATGCTGCCTAAAAATGCCTGGATCTGGGGAATTCCTGCCCATGTCATCCCCTGCACCTCATTGACTTTATATCCTGGAAATCTTTTGAAATGCTAAATAAAAAGGCTTAGGATCACCCATTACACATCTATAAAATCTATTAATATGTTTCTACGAAAATAAGACCAGGTCTTATTTTCTTTTGACCCCTGAAAAAACGGCTAGGGCTTCTGTATGGGAGAGTCTTATTCCCCCCCTCCTATGTACCGGCATGAGGGGGGGGCAGTGGCCCTTGTGCCAGCTTCCCAAAGGGTCCCAGTAAGCCATCCCACCATCCACAGGTGCCGCTGAAGCTCTTGCCTCCAGGAAGCGTGGCTGCTTTTGCAGCCTTAAAAGCGGCAGGAGGCCAAGTGATGCACACCACGCATCGCTTGGCCTCCTTGTTGCTTGCCGTGCAGAAAACACTAGGTGAGGCCAGAGGAGGGGGGAAGGGGGGGAGGAACATGCCCCACACGCCTTTACCTAACAGTCGCACCTGCCATCCACCTGAAACATCCTCTCAGTGGCCACTCCAACAACCCAGCCCACCGGGCTGCTTCTTTTGCAGCTGCAAAGAGTAGGAGGCCGAGCAACCCGCCCCACACACCTCGCACTGCCTGAACTAACACTCGGACAAGCCAGCCACAATTTTTTTAATACTGTTTATTTTGTCCCAACCCACATGGCCCAGCACAGCAAAGAACAGCTGTCTTTTCTTTGCAAAAAAGGTCCCTTGTTGCAGGAGGTTTTGGACTCCGTGCTTTTGGCTGGGATATTTGCAACCTCCTCTTTCCAAACATCTCACTGAAACAAAAGTGACGTATGCCCATTTTTCACCCAGATACTCATGGCAACATTGCCAGGGTGTCAAGTGGTTAACACTCAGTAGAGAAAGAGCACATCACCGTCACCTTCCAAGGTTGGATCGGATCTCTTTCTCTCTCTCTCTATCTCTCTCTCACACACACACACACAGAGGTCCCTCACTCACACACATACACACACCCTTCAAGGTAGCCATATCCCTTCACTAACCTGCTTTTCAGCTCTGTTCTCTGATGCGCAGTCAGGGCAAGAAGTCTGTGGGATTTCAGTAAAAAAAATACCAGTTCGGACCTTCCAATTTCTCATGAAAAAAAAATAAATCTTGCGAGGTTGGAAGGTCTCAACTATTTTTTTTTACTTCTTGCCCTGCACGCACAGTGGAGAACAAAGTGAAGGGAAACAGGTTAGTGAAGGGATGTGGCTGCCTTGGGGAGGGGGGGTGAGGGAGTGTCTGTTTGTGTGTATGTGTACTTATGTGTGCGTGAGAGAGAGGGGGGGGAGGGAGAGAGAGAGAATGTCCTGCAATAAAGAATGATCGGTAGGAAATGGGGGGGGGGGGAGATTTGCTTCTATGCTACAATAGAGTGTTGCACTGGGAAGCCTCCATGGGTAATACCAATACTGAATTGCATGTCTTGCTCCTCTGAAAGGAGTGCAGGCAGGGGGCTCGGTAGCCATGGAAGATGGGGTTTCAGGATGCAAAGAAGAAGGGGGTGATCTCACACTCCCTCCTGCTGCAGGGCCACCATGGAGCTTGTGCAGGGCAGTGTGACTACTGATGAAGGGGCCCTGGCAGGCCAGCGGTTAGGGAGGCGCTCTGGAGATCTGGGCCGAGTTGATTGGCCCTCACTGGCTCAATTGATCCACGAGCCACAATTAAGGGGCCGATCTGCCATGAGGTGACCAGAGAAGGAATGGGCTATCTCCTATGTTGGCCATGCCCACCCTTTCACTAGGGCTTATTTTGGGGGTAGGGTTTATATTTGGCCCATCCTCAAAACTCAGGCTAGGGCTTATTTTTGGGGTAGGTCGTATTTTCGGGAAAACACGGTAGATATTATATAATAATATACATATTTGAAAGACTCTAAAAAATACATACGTTGTTCTATAGGTCCTGCATCAGCTTTCATAGCATCTTTTTGTCTGAAGAGCAATTCTTTCTCTTCTTGAAGGTGCTGTCTCTCAGCCTCTAGTTCCTGTAATTTGTTACCTGTACGAAGTAGCTCTTGTTCAAGATGCTCTGTTACCTCTGTCTTTTCCTGGATTTGTTTTTCCAGAAGTGATTTTTCATCTGCATAACCATCAATAAGATCTATGGAAAAAGAGAGATGCCCAAATTAAGCATTGTAGTTTTTGAGTAAAATATTCGAAAACCTTCTGAAAAAAATATGACTAGCATGGTGATAGCACTATGTAATTTTATACCAAAAAACTTTATTCTGCCCAAGTAATAAAAATTAAAATATTATACTGTAATATTAATGCTATATTAAAGATTGAAACATTCATTTTTTTTAAAAAAAATAGAATTTTTATGAAGATGAGTGTCAGTATATGAATATGATAATACACTAAAACATATGAAGAACGGTTGCTTGAATTGGATAGGTTTAGTTTAATGAAAAGAAGGGCTAGAGTAACATGATAGCAATGTTCCAATATTTAAGGGGCTGCCACAAACAAGAATGAGTCAATCTATTCTCCAAAGCATCTGAAGGCAGGAAAAGAAGCAATGGATGGAAATTAATCAAGGAGAGAAGCAACCTAGAACTGAGGAGAAATTCCCTGACAGAACAATTAATCACTGGAACAGCTTGCCTTCAGAAATTGAGAATGCTACAACACTGGAAGTTTTTAAGAAGAGATTGTACAATCATTTGTCTGAAATGGTATAGGTTTCCTGCCTGAGCAATGGGCTGGATTAGAAGACCTCCAAGGTCCCTTCCAACTATTCTGTGTTCTGTATTCTACTATGTATTCTGTATTTAGTCTCCATTATTAAAACAATGTTATAATAGAATTTTACTAAAGCAATAGTCTAAAGTTGATAGAATTCCAGATAAACGTGGTTACTATTATTTTTCATTATATGTACAGTCAACTGTGTATGCTTCCTTGTTTATGAATAAGGTGTTCACTCAATACATATATTATATAATACAATATGGTGATATCTATACATTTAGAATTTTCAGATGATTGCAAATTGTACAAAATTATAGTGTTATGAGAGTGATTATGAGAGAAAATATTTAATTGGAAAGATGAACTGATATAAAAGATGTGTGTACATGTGTGTAGACAACACACATTTTTCATAGCTGAAAAATGGTTACAATTATAAAGTTATAAAGTTACAAAGTTACAGTATGATCTTTGTTATCCCCATATTTCACTTCTTACATTAAATATGTAACTCATAAAACTGATACATCCTGATAACAACCAAGAACATTCATAGATATATAACAATTAAACAAGCCTAACCATTCAGTTCAGAACTTTTCTTTTATGCTAGTATTTTAACATATTAATTGTTCATTTCTGAAAAAATGTCTTAGAAATAATGATCTGTACCCATTAATAAAATTTAAGTGGGGTTTATTGTTCAATTTAATTTTTTAATAGTTCAAAATCTTAAAAAGCCAATAATTTTGTGAGAAGTGACACTTACACATTTGTAGTAAAATGACTGCATTTCAAACTATTATTTATTGCAAACATAATCTGATTACCAGCTAGGTAATATTTCAAAAAGCAATAATAAATATTAGTATGTTTATAATAAATCTATTAAGTTGTGGATGAATGATTAAACACTTATATGTTCTCTTGCACACTTCAATATTATCATTAACATCCAGTTAATGCTCCCAGCATATTATAAATTCCCAGATTATGTATATGCAGTAATAGCAGCAGTACTTCAACAAGTCTTCACATGTTAAATTTATTTCTTCACAGTTGAATAAACACTTCAGTGTTAAACTCTTTCTTAGGAGGTTTTGTTAGTATCAAGAATTGTGTATAGGTAGACTTGGTTTTTAGATGCACTGACTTCCAATAGGTTTCTGGCTGCAAATGAAGGTGGTTATTTCTATCAAGTGGTTCATGGTGCAACACCAGATTATTTGGGAGATACCCTATTATGATTGCTTATCGTATGAGGTTCAACAGAGTAAGCATGTTTCAGATCCCTTTCATGTAACAATGCCGAATAATGGAAGCAAGGAAGCATTTCTGTATAATATCAGTCTTTTGAAACAGCATATTGTTCCCAAGATTCAGTTAGATTTATCCTGTTGATCTTTGTAAGGCTTTATAAATTCAGTTTTTCCCTGATCATTGAGATAGCATGTTGGATGAACTTATCTGGAAAACTGGTTTAAGAGCTTGAATATGATTTAAGACTTTGTATTTTTGGTCTTTGTGCCATAGAATATTGTGTATTGTGCCATAGTATATTACGTTTTGTGCCACAGGATATTGTGTTTTGTGGATTTATTATTATTTATTCATCTTAATTTGTTTTCAATCCATATTAATTATCCAGAGTCACATTTTGTGAGATAATCAGTAATAAATGCTTAAATAAATAAATATGCTGATCTAATTAATCTAGAACTTTTATTAGGGTAAAGTATGTTTAAAAAATTACAACTTATGAATAGGCATCCTCTATTTCCTCTTTCAAATATCCTATTATCTTATTATCATTTCTATATACATTCTCTCTTGAATGATGGTTGCTTTTCTTTCTTTGTGACTTAATCAATTTTCTACTCATTTGTAATATATTTTCAACTGTAAAAAAAAAAAAAGCATAAACTATAACTGCCTGAAAATGTATGTAATTAAAGTAGCTGCTTTATAATTTTGGATTGGGGAGAAGTAACAGTGTATAATTATTTAAAATACCATATTGCAAACAAATCAATTACTTACTCTCTGCTTTGCTAAGTTCCAGTGCTATCTGCTCTCTAGCTCTGACCTCTTCATCAAACCTTTCTTGCAATTCTTCCTGACATTTGGTTAATTCAGTAGTTTCATGTTCCCATTTAAAGGATTCTTGCATCAATTCTGTTTGTGTAGCTTTTGCATGTTCAAGCTAAAACATAATTTAAATGTTGACATTTTTAATGTACATTTTAAAAAGTCCTACATAAGAACAATGTCAAGTTTGGGAAATTAACTTGAAATGAGAAGTTTACTGCCCTCTTACATTCTGAATAACAAGATAAACAAATATTTGTACAATGAATGACTTTGCCATATGTCTGTATCCGTGTTGAAGTACCGGATCTTAAGCCTGTCCAGTTTACACTAAAAAGAAAACCTTGAGTTATTAATATAAACTTCAGCATGTACCACCCATAGTAATCTTTATTTAATGTATGACCTGAATTGTTCAAATTAATTTCATGTCTCAAATAATTCCACCTTTTGATAGTTTTGTACTTTTTTCACTGATCAGAGAATACTATATGTAGTATTTGAAAGCACTCAATTATTTAACAACTTTGATTAATGAATCTTAATGAAAAAAAATCTTACAATCAGTGTATTTCAGAATCTAAAGCTTCTTTGAATCATTATTATTCATATTCTATATTTTCCACGCACTGTATTGATCTTGTATCTATTTAACTTAAAATGATATGTCATGGTATAATACCTTTATTCCTTAAACCACATGTCAAAGATCAATAGTTCACTTCCTGCAAATGTCCTGCCTCTCTAAACTGTTAGTTATAATATTTCTTAGATCAATGTATGATATTAACCTCCTTAAAAATGTGATCCTTTTCATCTGATCAGCCGATGAATCTAGCAAAAATGACTACAGGCATTTCCCCGGTTACTCAAATTACAAAATGACAGAAGATACATTTATTTACTTTCCAGAAATAAAACAGCACACACCTATGTTTTTCTAAGTATAGTTAATGATGAATAGCTATATCATTCAACATTTGTGACTAACAGACTATATGCCTTGGATAAACTCTGTGAATTTATCCAAGAAGAATATTAATATAGGGACTGTCAATCAATAGTTAAATAATAATTAATACAACATGTTAATAATGAAGACATGATCTAAAGACATGAAACAAATTCCTAAGATCTGTATTTAAAATGAAATCAGTAAAACTGGTAGTTACATTTTTCCCTTACAATATAGTTACCGGTTTCAGATCATCACTATCAGCACAGTTCATCAGAAATAAAATTAAAGGCTAGCTTATTTTTATATAATTTATTTAAAAACAATTTAAGTTTTCATAATTTAACAAATTTAAAATTCAATTTACGTAGATGCATCCATTTATTCTAGTTTAACCTATATTATTAAAACATATGCTAAAGTATACATTAAACAATGTTAAGCTTATTTTCTTCAATTCAAATAGGTCAAATGAAAGTTTAAATTATTAAGAAGTGTACTAATACACTTAAGGTACTATATACTAAGAATGTAAATGTATATAATATGTAAATATAAATATTTAAAATTTACATTTACCAGTTAAAAATGATCAATATGCACTGATCCTCACTTTTTAATATATTTTTCATTGTCAACTATAATAATACTGTGTTGCAGAAATGTTCTGTTTAATTCAAAATTTTCTGTATATTGAATCTTTAAAATTAATTCTGGTAGTTAATTATTAGTTTAATCAGCTGTAATTCGGTTACATGAAGCTTATATAAAAGTCTTAAAGTAGCAAGCACTAAAAGGTTTCTGGAAAACATTATATTAAGAATTCTTTACATATAAATCAACAATTTGAGAAAAATCTGATTAAGTACTTCTGCAAAATTATACCAGACAGAAAAACATTGTTAGATAATACACATTCACAGTAATCTTGTAAAAGAAAAGGGAAAAAAAATTCTCTATTTTGTTATACTTACTGAATAAGGGGGTGTAGGCAAAGAAATTTTTGAAACAATTCTTAATCTATGTCCATTTTTCTTGTGCTTTACATAAAAAAGTGATGTATTGAGAACCACAGAATTATTATCATCCAATTGGTCAGTAAAAGGAAAAGGATAAGGTAAAGGCACACGAGATTCGACTTCTAAAGTATTTTCTTCTTGACTTTTTTCAGACCTTAGACTACTACAGATATTTGATGCCCAGTATGTACGGTAGGAATCCATTTCATAGTAATCTATTGCAGTTCTTTTTCATGAAATAACTTCCCTTGATTAAATAGCTTTAACTGTTCTGGATGAAATGACAACGTAGTTCAATAACTATTTGCTCTTTTGTAGAGAGCAAGGAATTATAAATTCATACTCAGATGAGGAATCCAAATACACCAGGAAGTTCCAGGTAAACATTCAGTTGAGAAAAAAAAAGCAATGTTTGCAGATCTCACAGAATTGACATTTCCTCTCATGGAACCAAATAGAAAAGGGCATTAAAATAAAAGGAAAACCAAGGAAATCATTCATCAACACGAAAGATTATCTTCATAATTGCCTACTACGGTATATTCGCAGCCACACCATAAAAAAAAATCCTGCAGCACCTGTCAATACTTAAAATTCTCCACTGAAGTACGACAAGAACATACTAAATTAAGATACTATTTAATCATTTTCCCCTTAAGTTGTATAAAAAGCTGGTCTGAAATCAGATAAGCTTCTCTGTACAAAATAAAAGCTGTGTCTCAATGGGAGGAAAAGGTCAGAACATTATTGTAGGAGTGGCTAGATTACTTTACTGCAGGTACACAGAGATTTGGAATTTGAATTAACACACCCACATCAAACCTTGTTCAACAAGATTCAAAAGCCAAGTCAGAGTTCATAAATGAAGGAATTAAAAAGCTTTGTGACTGCCTGATCCATTTCTTAAATGCTTTTTTAAAAAGTCACACCCAGTAAATAAATAGTTTCTAATTAGTACGTCATACTTAAAATAATTTATTTTTACTTAATTTAAACTAAAATTGACAGAAATTAATAAAGAGAAGACAGAAGAGGTGACAGTACTCAATATCTAGATGACACCCAAAAGGTAGTCAAGATCTATTGTTTATCATTGCAGAATTCCAGATAAGGAATAATGCACCGATATTATAGATTCTGACTCAACTTTACCAAAATGTATCTAACAATAAGGGCAATTCAACATGAAAAAATTCCAAGAGAGATGGTAGACTTCCTTTCACTCATTGTGTTTAAGCAGAGATCAGACAGGCATCTGAGATGCTTTGAATCTGGATTCTTGCACTGTACAGAGAAATAGATTCAATAGATTCTTAACAGACTGTAGGAAAATTATTTATTCCATGTGAGTTTTGTGCATCTAGCAAAAATGTTGCCTGTAGAAAGTAAATGAGTTACTTGTTATAAATTTAATTTGTTTTTAGAATTTTTCTGTCATAACACCATCACATTATCCATATAATATTTCCTTTGGAATTTGTGACATAGTAGAAGATAAACAACAGAAAAATAATCATTATGTAGTACATCTTGTGATAAAGGAATCACAAAATATGAACTTAATGGTCAACCTTTGACTGACAATCTTTGTTTGCTGACTTGGAAGACAGTACAGATTTTAAGATACTGAATTGTCAGAATAGAACTTGATAGCGATAATATAGTTTTCTTGGAACATAGTTGTGCTTATAAAGTTAAAAAGAGTACCTGATCCAATATATAGTGCTTTTGGGAAGTAGGGAAAGGAGAAGGGAGTTCCACTGTAATTACTGCAAATATAAATATATATATATACTTCAGAGAGATCATGCTTTTTTTGCTTTCGACTTAAATATTAGCCATTTAAAATTTTATCTTTATTACACATTTATTGCTCTTTTCAAACACCATTTTCTGTTCAATTATAAATGTTACCTTGCTCAATAATTATTTAAACAAGAGGAAAATATATTTAGTACAGAAATTTTGGATTGTATCTTGAATGTGCCTATTCTATTATTCTAAACATCAAGTTGCTAATGAGAGGTAAGGAAAATAAAAACATTTCAGTACTTTATAGAAAATGTTTTGGAATAGAGAGAGCATTAACTACAATATGTGTCTACAATTTTTGAAATAACTGTGCTTTTTCCTAGGATCCCAGAAGCAACTGCAACAGGATCTTAAAAAAAAATCAGATAATTTATCCTGTTACAGATACTACATTTGTGTTCCTGTACACTCCAGCTTTTTGGAAACTATCTTTTCTAACTGAACACGCACCTTGAAACATACTAATAGCATGACAAAAGGCCTTTCAAACTTGTGTTTTAAACTTTTTAAATGGAGATACATTATAAATAAAATATCTGAAAAAGAAATGCAGCTTTGAGTTTATATAAACATTGATTGAAATAATATTTAATTAATATTTAACATCATGATGTTGCAATATAGGGCTAAAAGAAACTAACTTGTAATCATAGTAAAAAGTCCGTACAATAAAGTACTCTCAGAATTTTTTTTTAAAAGGAAACTAACGAAATTAAGCAATTTCATTTTGTCTTTTCCACTCAGACATTCTTTCAAGGCTATAATTAAACAATATTACCTGATTAGCAGTTTCATTTATTGTTTGAAGAAGTTTTTCAAATACTGCTTGAAGTCGGCTATTGATATTTAGAATTAGCTCTTCATTTTTTGCATCTATTTCCATGCCAAGGAACTGGGTGAATTCAAAGTCTTCATCTGTGATTTCTGACCACATGATATTGTCTTGACTTTCAAGATCATTGCCAATATACTGAGATGATGGCCTTTCTGTACAACAAAAAAATTAAAAGAAAAAACAATGTCCCTCTTGTTGCTTTTTTTGTTTTGTTTCTAACACTAGCAGGATCTTTCTTATACAAGTTAATGAATATGATCAAATAAACTATATAATAAACAGAAATATTTCCACTGAGAATGAAGTACATCAAGCAATAAAATAAATTACACCTTGCAATAAAATTACACAAATGAAGTCAGTTAATTACAAAGCAGACAGCAAATACAAAAGGAGATACTAACAGAAGAAAAATATTTGAATATCAGCACATTATGAAAACTAATCTAATTGGTTAAATCTATCTATTTACCTATAGGGTTATATTTCAAGCATTACCTTCTATTTAGGCATTACAGTTGTCTAGTATAAAATATGCACATTGCAAGCACAGAGATAATCTGATTGCATTCAAATTCCATTTTGAGAAAACACTAAAACTCTGCCACTAATAAATTATTGTTCTACATTTTAATTCAATAATTGAAAATAGTTTAGTAATATCATTAATGGAAAACAAAGAATTCAATTTGTATTTATGTGAAATGAAAACAATCTGATCATTGAAGATGTTTGATCCTATTAATGAAAGATACATGATTCTATCTTCCTTTTCTTAGCATGAATCCTCATAGATTAAACATCTTTCTTTTGCCAATCATTTTCATCCATCTAGAAAGTATGTCTAGAGAACTGTTCTAAAGCAGGTCCATCTAAATTTAAAGTGTCTTGATATTTGAGGATATAGAAACAAGGTTAAATCTCATGCATATCTATTTATGACTAAAGTTAGACTTTCAAATAAATATGAATAGCAAGTTATAAATTATGTTTGCAGAGTAATATAAATGGTTAGTTATTATGTACAAAAATATATGAAAATATATTATCAAACCAACAACATGAAAATCATTTCATTGTGAAGTAGTATTTTATACAAATGTGACTGCAGTTGAAAATCTATTAATAATTTTGTAGTGGGCAGGGATTTGCCAAAATGTTTCTTTCCAAAACATTTCCAGCCCAAAATTTTTCAGAACATTCCACTGCAAATGACAACCTGTTGCCTTAGGTGTGAAAAATCTCTATTCTGAGATTTTTTTGGAGATGTCCAATTTTTGTCCTAACTCATTTTAATCTGAGAATTCAAGTCAACCCTTAATTAACAGTTAGTATAAAAATGGATTTTAAGGAGTTAATCTGCTATCTCTGCCTTTATCTTTTTTATTAGCTTTTACTAATCTTAATCTTTATTTTTAAAAATAGCAATAGCACTTAAGATTTATATACTGCTTCACAGTGCTTTACAACCCTCTCTAAGCAGTTTACGGAGTCAGCATATTGCCCCCAACAATCTGGGTCCTCATTTTACCCACCTCAGAAGGCTGAGTCAACCTTGAGCCGGTGAGAATCGAATTGCATACTCCTGGCAGTCGGCAGAAGTAGCCTGCAGTACTGCATTCTAACCACTGTGCCATGATGGCTCTTCTATATATAACATACTGTAAGCATACTGTTGCTTTGAGGCTTTTTGTTTAAAGCACCAATTGGGGAAAAAAAGACTTGTTTCCAGTGAAAAGGGCATCTTGATCAAGCATAAATATACTTGACAAAAAGCAAGCTAAACTACCTGATCTGACATTAGGATATAAAAGAAAGTACTTTTACATTATACTGTCACAAGAAATATATGTACACTTATGTTCATTGACCTAAAAGATCTTTTTTTTCAAACTTCTAAGGACAAATTTTATCAGACCAAAGTACTTAAATATGGCTCAGTACAATTCAGAACCTTTAAAAGGAATAATTAAGAGTGACTCCTTAGTCATTTCTTTTGAAAACCTACCGTGTTTCCCTGAAAATAAGACCCTGTCTTATATTTTTTTGAAATCTGAAATAAGCGCTTGGCCTTATTGCCATGCATTCAAAAGCCCAATTGGGCTTATTATCAGAGGATGTCTTATTTTGGGGGAAACAGGGTAACTGCTTCAATAAAAGTCCCAAACATTCTGATTATATTTTAAAGTGAATGTACCATATTTTAAATTACTCTTTATACCTTGTCTGAAATATTTTCCTTAATGGTAATTACTGTTATATATCTCCTTTTAGCTTTGTAAAGCTAACAAAAATACTAATCGAAATACTCCATGAAAAGAAAACTCATTGTTTTTTATGAATGAAATGAGTAACTGGATGAATTTAATTTATGTTCACTTGGCACCTTTCATCTGCACAGGATTTCAAAGCACTTCCATGTCCTGCAGAAATAAACTCCTAGGCACAATATGCAATTTCATCAAGGATGTCTGACATATACCATTAGCCAATTTACAACGCAATGGATTTTAAATGGGCAGTGCTTAAAAATTATAGACATCACCACTGTCACTTTGAATAATTTGAAAAGTTACTTCAGGGCCAGAAGATGAAAGGGCTTTAATATCCTCAGAGCAGAAAGCACATTTGCAATGAATATCCAGGATATTGTTTGTCAATGCTATACCAAAACATCGGTTAAGACTGAGTTGAGGGAAGATCTACCCTCTACTGAGCCATCAACACCACTTACTGATGCAACTGATGCTCTTTGAAGTTCACCCATCTTAAGTACTGACCAGGTAAGAGACCCTGCTCAGCTTCTGACAAATAACAACCTGGAGTACAGTAAGCAGAGCTACAGAAAAATACAGTCAAATAAAAGGATAAATTAGTTATTGGGTATTCTATACTATAAGCAAAGAACAATGAATATTTATAATTAAGGGTAAAACCTGGAACTTCATTGCAGTGTGCACTGCACAATATTTTAACTTTGGAATATACATTCTTGACATTATTTTTTGTAGCTAAAACAACACACTGAGTTTTTCTTCTCTCTGTAGACTGGAATAGTGACAATAGATTTCGGGACTTGGTATTCAATAGTTTCCTAAAAACTTTTCATGTTTCCCTAAAGAAAGGACACTGAAGGACAATTTCCCTAAAGAAGGACACTGAATAAGTAGAGAAAAGGATTTTGTTGGCTGTAATATTGCATTATGTAAACCAAATGCATTGACAAATGTTCTTGTACACTTTTAAAACCTTACTTTTAAGCACATTTTCCTTGTCTTACGTCCTATACAAAGGAAAACAATTTTGTTCATTTTTTCTATAGATTTCTAATGCACATGATAAGCATGGCAGACAAAACATGTAGTAAATAATATCATGACTTTTATTGGCATTCTTCATTATGTTGAGCAGAATAGTTTCACCGAGGCTGAAAGCTCATTCTTTATCAGACAACTTTGTTTCTAGGATTAAAGGTCAATTCTTTTCATTTTGAGTTGGATAAAATATTGATAGCTGTTTTGACCCTATGATAACATTAACAGACAATGCAAGTGAGAGCAGAAAGGATTTCGGTTAACTGCAATTCTGATAGGAAGAAATTTTGCTGTTTTAAAGACTGGCACCAATCTCTTAAAAGTGAATATTTTTGCATTAAATGAATTGTTGAATGAAATCAATCAATTGCATAATGAATCCAATAAAGCGAAGTAAACCTACACTTATAAAGGTAATAGTCAAGTTCCCATCAAGTAATATTGACTCAAGGTAATTTTGCATTGGATAGCTTATAAATGTGATTTATAAAAATTCTTGGCAACTTTTGGGAAGGCCCTTGTAATTTTGATAAGTCACATACTAGGAAGGATTTTTTTTCTGTTAACTTTCTAACCAAGTCAATATTCCAAGTGTCTCTTGGCGGTATTTCAGCAGTGTATTAACTAGGTCCAACCTCCTTAGCTTTTCTGAGATGGTTAAGGATAACTAGTTACCACTATAAGTTTGGACTATCAAGTATTATGCTCTTCATGATAACAGAAACATATCTTTGTCCTTTAAGTTATAGACCATGGTATTCTAATATTTTTAAAGATTACAGAAAATTAAAAAATTAAAATATTTCACTCATATATTTACATTAATTTATCATATCCTTTAATTTGGGTTCTTACGAGGACATTTTCTGGATGATTTGATGTTTTACGTTGCATGAACTACTTTAGAATAAGTAATACCATTTCTTCAAAATTCCATAAATGTTAATTATTGAAAAATATTTATCTATTTAATTATTGAATCAAAAAGATTTATTTCTTTTAAATAATGGAACAAGGAGAATTCCAGAACTATATCTGGTTTTGCTTTATTAAGCATGATAAGGTTTCTGACTTAGCAGAACATAAATTGTTAATAGCCTTCAAAATCATGGGAATACTAGGTCACCTCATTGCCTATTGAAGAATGTCTATGGTAGCCAAGATTTATCATTCTATTTATTTGATATGCAAATGTAAAATATTTTATTTAACTTATATGCAGATATATCATTACCAATTACTCTGGACTAAAATATGCTGATAGTATCACTTTGATTATTGGAAGCTAAGAAAACTTAAGGAGATTCTTGCTCAAGATAAAAGAAGAGCTATCTATAGAGATTCCCAATCATCCGAGTCATGGTATCCAAGGGTGCTTTTCCAAAAGGCAACTGGACTTTCTTGCTTCTTCAGAAACTAAAGAAGCTTTTGGGATAAGAAGAAAAATGTTTTCAAAGAAAAAAAAACACAGGAAAGTCCAGTTGCCTTTGGAAAAGCATTCTTGGGATTTAAAAGAAGAGAATAAAAAAGTTAATCTATTGCTTAAAATTACAAAAAAATAAAAAATAAAAAATGAAGACTATGGCAACAAGCAATGCCAGTCCAATGCAAAGATAAAGAAGAGAAAGTGAAATTGCAGGCTTTATGTTGCTAGGCTCAAAAGTTCAGAGAGTGTTGACTTTGGCCAGCAAATAGACAGAAGTCTATTATATGGACGAAAGATGACAAATCTACACACAACATTGAATTATATGTGCAGTGACAATATGTTCTAGTATACTAGTATTAGATCACAGTGACAATGAATTCTAGTATACTTGTATTAGAAAACATTGTCAAAGCCACATTTTCTAATACTCATATAGTTGGGAAACCAAACCATCAGACAAAGCAAAAAACAAAACAAAACTTCTCCAAAAATAGTGAAAGGTGGTGCGTTCAATTTATTTGCTTCCTATCTCATTATGGCTACTTTAGGGAATTTACAACAAAGTAAGGCCTCAGATGCCTTAAAACCTGGCTAGGCTTGAATACAGATGTAGGTGATTTTTCAAAATTTGTTCCCAAATGTTTTTGCCACAAAATTAAATAACACAGCTTATGTTGGGAAATGAATTGTGAGATAAGGTGGATAGTATAATATGATTTGAACCTGCTTTCTAAGTTCTGAACTTTACAAATTATTGTTGAGTACTGACATCTAAAACAATTTATACTGATCAAGGATTTCATGAAGGATGCTATTGAAGTGAATCAATTTTTTTCTAAGAAAAGCTGTAATTCCTGAACTAGCCAAGGCTATAGCTAAATCTTATACCAATATAATTTTCAAACAGCATATCAGCTTTTTAGAAAGAATTTGTCCTTTCTGAGTCATATGCATATCTCCATTCAGATGACCTCCAGATGAAATAAATTTCATTTCCATCCAATATAAAAAATGGTGCTATTTGCCACTGTGTACAACAGTTTATTTAATATTTTAAAATGCCACTTTTATTATCACAATTGTGTAGTAACAGTAGAAGAACAAAAAGTTTTTATTTCCAAATTTACTATTAAGTTTAAACCACAAATCTATTGGATTTACTCTTTTAATCTAACTGCCATGATAAGACAGAATTGTTTCGTTGAAATGAATTTCTTTTTCTGAATTGTACTGGAATGTAAACATGAGCATACAAAATTTATATTTCTCTAAGGCAAAACCAGCACAGAAAAGCAATGTGGATTACTATTTTGAAATTACATTTTTGAAGTCTGTTGTATAAAAAGTTGTACCATATTCATGTAGCACAGATTACCCTAAATCTAGTGCCATATTGATAGTAGAATCGTATTCTAAAAATAAATGACCAACTGCTCTTACTATTAGAATCCTAGAGAAATTGTCATTATCAGTCTGGCTGTCTAGATGACACTTTTCTAGAAAGAGGCCAAATTCCTTGAGATTGTACCATAATCGATCAAGAAAGACCAATCCAATGTAAAATATGTAGGTATCCTATGTAAAAATTAGGTACTCATTGCTGATAAATCTATTCAACAGATATAAATTAAACCAATTAAATGTTTGTAATAACATACTCACTATAATCTCCTATTAGATTGCCAAAACAGTAAGGAGAGATTATGTTTAGGTCAGGAAAAGTATGGAAAAAATTAGCAAAATATATTCTATCATTTGACTCCATTGAAATCACCATTACAATTCAAAATCAAAAATTATTTAGGTAAATCTCTAGATAGTTCTTGACTTGCAACCATAATTGCGACCAGAACTTCCATTGTTAAGCAAAGCAGTGAGTTGTTCCTTATTTTCAATCTTTTTTGCCACAGTGGTTAAGCGAATCACACAGTTAAATGAATTATGTAGTTGTTGAGCAAATCCAGCTTCTCCCCTTGACTTTGCTTGTCAGAAAGGCCATGAATGGCAATCACATGACCCTGGGACATTACAATTGTCATAAATACATGCCAATTGCCAAGTACTTGAATTTTAATCACATAACTCTGGGAGGCTGCAATGGTTACAAATGTGGTTGTAAGTCATTTTTTTTTCAATGCTGTTGTAACTTTGAACACTCACTAAATGAATGGTTGTAAGTTTAGGCCTACCTGTACTTTGACCCATAAATTGTTAATGTGGAGTAGATTTTCCAAAGATGGATATATACTTTTCCAATAGCATGTTGTTAAATGTTATCAGGACTGTCAATGCACAATACAGCCATCTCAGGTTGTTTCAATACATTGCTAAAGTCTACCTTACCACTAACTTTCCATCTTTAGGAGGTGTAATCTACGTAATGCTAAATCACTCCTTAAATCTTTCTCTATGTATCTTCTCCAAATTTATTTTAAAAGTTCTAATTCAGGTAAGATTTCTGAAATCTTGTGAGAGATTGAATTTGTGGTATCTATACACAGACATCATCAGACCTTTCTTAGAGGACATTTTTCTGAAGTCATAGTAGTGTGCCTGAATGCTATCAGAAGCATTGCCAGCTTAGTACTGCTCCATTTCAAGCACACAACATTTTCAGTGAACAATCTGGGTTAAACTCAAAGAACTGTTTTAACTTCTAAGTGGAGCATTTCAATCTCAAAATAGTTTGTATTTAAAACTTTTGTACATTCTTAGTTTAAATCATCACAGAAAATAGGTAAAGTTTATTTATGGAATTTATGCGATAGACAAAGAGCATATTTTTAATTACTAAGATACAAAGGGATATTGATTATAAAAATATCACATTTATTGCAGTTGATAGGCAGCTGTTTTTAAAATAATGTATATAACTTCTTACTGAAACAAACAAGCCATGATGATAGCTGACATGACTATGTTAGAACAGGAGAATAACAGAGTCACCAATAAGGCCCCATTATATGCAGTTATGGTCTATTACTATTTATTTATTTATTTGACTGGCAATTAGACATTTTCAAGCATATCTAAGAAATTAGCTAACCGGTAACTCTGAAAACAAATTGTGGATTCAAGAATGAAAAAACTTTAAATTGCTACAAATTATTTACATTATTTATGGATCAGAAACGTTAAACTTCCATATTGTATTTATTGCGTAATTGAATTTTAAGGCCTCTCAAAGTGATGAAACGTGCACTGCAGAAACAGTGAGGGAGACATTTGGCAACAAAGAGGTTTCCCAGAAAGAGGCAGAGATTAAGGGACTGTGCAGCCCAGAACTGGATGGGGAAGAAGAGAAAAAGTTCAGGATAGCCACACCCTAGAATTTCTCACGATATATTTAGTAGGCAAGAAAGTTATAGTCTTACTTTGGCAAGATTATGCCTATTAGGTATAAGCTACTAAAAGACTGAATTATTTTGTCTCTGAGCTCAGGCATGATACTCAATACATTTCAGCCTGAAATTATTAAAACTAAATATCACAAATACTTTTCCTATAACAGACGTAGAATATAACTTTACTACAAGTACCTGGCTCATATCCCATGTAAATGCTTGGTTTTAAGGTGTCTTCTGCTCTTGCCTCCCATGCAAGACTTTTAAAAAGGAACTGAGATTCTGGTGACTGATCTAGAAGTTTCACAACAAGGTGTCCAATTGTTTCTTCTACAGCTGCAGTAGTCTTCACAATATCCAACAGAATCTTCATCAGCCTACTACTGGCTTTCTGCAAAGTACATCTGAACTCATAAAACAAATATAATTCCAATTAAAATACAATATGGTGTTTACTTCCACAGTTTGTCTTTACACAAAAACTAGGACTCATGGCACTATTAAATTAAATCACTTGGAGTAAGACAGGAATTAAAAAAGCAGATAATATATTGAAAAGGTAATGAATAAGATAACCGATTTGCTAAAACTAAAATCAAGAACTATTTACTAAATCCTACCCCCCCAATCTCCAATTGCTCATAAAAAGTTATTTCCTCACAGTTAATGGCTGTTACATTTGAGCTTAGATAACATATCATGATCAAGAAAATATCAAATATTCTCTTGAATGTAAAAAATGTAGTATAATAGTCTCCCAAAGTAGATGTTTACCAAGCAATTTATGTTACAAATTATTTTTCAGAAAATAGTCATTACAAAAGTATTCATATATTAAAAAATATTTAATAGCTAGAACTCATTTACTACTTTAACACATATGCTGTGCAATGTAATATATATATCAAGTGATATTACTGAATTAAATGGAAGTTAATTTCAAATGAACAAGCATGTTTACAGTGTTTGCCAGATAATTGCTTTATATAGGGATTAGTAATTTGTAAAGTTAGATCCCAGAATGTGCGACCATGGCTACCAGTCCAGGCACACAGATAAATCCATGGCAGATAAAGCAATCACTAGCTATATTTTATGTCTAGTTTATATATCATTTTCAGTTTTAGAAACAAATTTCATTTTTAGTTAAGATTCATATACCTAAACACCACAACTAAATTTATGGTTTGGAAGAAAATTTCACTACTCTAAAAAACATGCTTACTTTTAATTAAGGGATGAAAAATAAGGAAAAGGAATGGATTAATTCCTATTAATAGGAATCTCATTAATAATTAATAGGCATGGATTAATTCCACTGAAATGTCAGAAAAATTGAACAAAAAAAATCTAAACCTTTTAGCCTTTCTGACAGCTTACCTCTCTTTTGAAAGAATGTCGACAGAAGTTTGTCCATGTTTTTCTTCTCCATCTTCAACTTCTAAAACATGCTCTTTATTTTCAGTCTGATTCACACTTTCATTCTGGGTAAGTTTTGGTAATGGGAGAGAAGAAAAAAGAGACAAAAATCCTGTCATATTGCAATCACCATATGTTCTAATTCATGCAGATATGCAGATGTTTAAAAAATAATAATTCACAAGTTTCAAGCAATTCTAAATAATAATTAACTATCCTATTATCGGACATTTAGTTCTGGCAATGGAAGAATATTAGTCACAGCCTGTCAGAATTAAATAGTTATGCTAAGTAAATAACTTCTTGCTTCCCTGTAGGACGTTACTATAGCAATATTAAAATAAGACTTTATTTTCAATAGAATATCAGTTAAACTCCACCTTCCTATGTAATCAACACCCATTTAAGCAAATCTGACAGTCACCTGGAAATGACCTACACTGCATAGTCACAATGCCATTGTATTTATATACCAGAGCAGCAAATTAACATTACCTGTGTTTGAGTACTGCTGTTTTTTAACTCAGAGAGTTGCTTTTCTCTCCCAGCTATTAATTGCTTCTTTAGTGATTCTAGTTCATCTAAAAGCATTTGTTCTCTTTCTGTTATGACATTTTCATTAATATTCTAAAAACAAAATGAGATGTCTCATATTAGAAACTCTGCAAATGCAACAAAATCCAAGTTTATAAATAAATACAAACAAAATATAATAGAGTAACAGTCCTATATAGGGTATTATTAACAAGACATAGGTCTCATCGTCACAGAAAATGCAGCAGATGAAATAGATTGCAATATTTATGATTTTAAGACAAATTGAACCTTGAAAATTGGCCAAATACATGAAATATTAGAAATCCCAGTTCACATTACCTCTGCTAACTGTAATTTAAGACTATCAAGCTCTGTGAGGAGAAGCTCTTGATTTTCTTTCTGCCTCTCCAACTGCTGCATGTGACTCTGTTTTAATATTTCTGTTGCCTGCTGATGTTCTTGATACTGACGAACAAGCTCTTGATGCATATCTTCCAGACGATCCTCATAAGACAATATCTGGGTTGAAGTAAGAATGCTGGAAGTTGAAACTTCATTTGCAATCTGTAATTTTTGTTTGTAAGTATTAAAAATAGAATATCAGCCACGAAAGAATTGTCATTTAATTTTATGATAAGCAATTCTAGAAGTGGACACGGTTATAAAAAGTAAGTTTGCCCTGAAGACGTTAATCCATTCCAACGGGCAAACGGAAGATCCTCAACCTGTGTTTTTTATTGCTCAGCAGTAATGTTTGCTGGGTAAATAGATAAAATATAAGAGGGAGGAAGAATTGTTCAGAAAAAGAATGGAATACAAGTAGTCCACAAGATATGACGGGTCACTTAACGAACATTCAAAATTAGAACCATGTCCCAAAATTACATATGACCTTGTTTTAAATTTACAATGACTGCAGCATTCCCAGTCATTCACCTTTAGGATTGACCAGGAAGATGCAGCAGCACTCCCTGCCTTTCTCCTGCCCCCCCACCCCCACCCGGTAGGACTTTGCAGGTCTTACTCTGTTCCTCATACCTCCTGGAAACAGCTGCCATTTTCAGGACTTCAAAAATTCCTTGTGAAATGGTGGCTGATTTTGGAGCTTTCTGACCTGATCAGCTGGCCGTCAAGAAACTGCTAACCTCTCCTGGCTCCTGCTAGGTTTTGGGAAGAGGCAGGGTTTGCTGCTGTATGCCCATGGTCAATCATAAAACTTCTTGATCTTTCTCTCCCCGCCCCACCCCAGACAGACACCATTAGGTGCTAAAACTAAAGTCCCCACCTCTGTCCACCAATCTCTATCCCTTGACTCAAAGATGAAGAATTGAGGGTAGGAAGGAAGGAAGGAAAGAAAATCTTTCTGCAGCTTTTTTCCCTGAACTGAAGAAAAAAGTGCAACTCAAAAAGTTTAAGCGTTTCTAACCCAGCTTTTTGCTCTTTGTATGACTGAGTTTAGGACCCAGTAAGTCCCCTGTAAGACAGACAGCGAAAAGTTTTCAAAAATCCATTTTCTGCCAATTTGCTGAACATGTTGCGCTATCGCCTTATGAGTTGATTTTTTTTTTCTGTAAGTCTTCTAGGCAAAAAGCTGAAAAGTTTGTCTCTCCCAACATTTTTAGTTTTTTTATAGAGGAAATGAGATTTTCTGGGAGAGGAGAGAGTCAAAGGTTTTGGGAAGTTTGTCCTGAAGTGGCTGCTTTTACATAGGGGATAGTTTCCCAAAGCCTAGCAAGAGCCAGGAGAGATTTGCAGTCTCCCGATAACCAGCTGATCAGGTCAGAAATCCCCAAAAGTCTAGGGAACTGATTCTTTCTTTTCTTTTCTTTTTTTGCGTCAGAAAGATACAGGCATCTTGGCAGAACAAAGGACAGTGCCCTGTGTTTTCTTTCTGCATTGTTTCTCCCTGGAAAGTGGAGTCAGCTGGGCTATGGCGGCATGTGCCAGAGAGACGTCTCAGAAAAAAATAACTAATTCCACTTTTTTAGGATGCATTCCTTCTTTCCTTCTGGAAGCAGGCAATTTTGAAGCCACAATTCATTACAGCCATTCTGTAAATGACATGTGCTTCTGGGCCACAGCCATGAAGTCTAGGGCTGCTCCCGGAGCTTCCAGAAGCTGGTATAAAGCAGGGGTCTCCAACCTTGGCAACTTTAAGATTTGTGGACTTCAATGCCCAGAATTTCTCAGCCAGCAAAGCGTATAATGTAATGTAATGGGTAAACAGTGACAGAAGTTGGGAAGAGCATGTGAGACCCAAGGGACAGGAAGTGGAGTATGGTTTATCTCAGGAGAGTGGGGGAGGCCTTCAGAGGCCTGAGGCAGGTAGACCTGTGTCTGCACAGAATCTACTAGGATCTCCTCTAACCCGAAGCAGCCAATAGTCCACTTAACAACCAAACATTCATTTAACAAGTGCAATGGGGACAGCAGGGATGGCTGGTTATTACTTGAGGCAGTTCATTTAACATTTGTCCTGACTTATCCTTCCCTAATTGGGCAAGCTCCGTTACAGTCATAACTCGAGGACTACCTATAAAAAAGCATAGAAGGATAAATCTTCGCTGTGATATTTTGATTATAGGTAGGAAACAGAGTTCTAAGTTTTGTATTGCTTTGTTTTAGTGTTTTGTTTATTAGGAATCATTCCATTATATTTTAATTTCAAGTCTGCTACTCAACTCTTCAGTCCAAATAAAATTCATATTTTATTCCGTCTAGGAAATTACTTTTAATAAACTGGAGGGGGAGAAGATATGTCCCAAACTAGTAATGATATCTGACACATAAATATAACTTTCCCCTAATACAATTTAGAAAGCAGACCATAGCATTTGCTTTATGCTGAAACCCTAAGCATGGTAACTAAGGAGCAAGTCCTGCCCATCAGTGTGACTTATTACTAAAAAAAAATACCCACAGGAATTGGTGAGTGTGTGTGGATTCTTATTATATTTTTAAAGTTTAGTTTTAGATGGAACTTGTCTATATACTTATTTAGAAACATTGAATTAATTCAATTTTAAGAATTTATAATTTAAGATTTTTCTCTTAAATCTAATACTTTGTTTTATATAAAATTATAAAGGGCTGCTACTAAAAATTTATCCACTCTCTCCCTTCCCCAAATACTGTTGCAATGCCTCATTGTGATGGTGGGAATATTTTTGGGAAGGATGAGTGAAGAATATCAGGAGTGTGTGCTCATAGTATATATTCTGGACAGTCACCCAAGGCACTTCCAGCTAAAGGAAGCAGGCACTTGTATTGGACAGCTGTGACACAGGAAAATGGCAGAATCAGATCATTTTAGTAACAATAGAACGGCATCAACTCATACTGAGAGGGAGAAGGTAATGGCAAACCACTTCTGTATTTTCACCAAGAAAATCACGTGGATACAAAATACAAAGAGAATTTTGTATTTACCTAAGTGGTTGCTAAGAGTCAACAATGAAATAGATCAGTTTCTGCCAACAGGAGGAACTAAATTAGGTAATTGGGCTCCAATTTATTTAGTGTTATATAAGATTTCCTGAGTTGTTCTTCTTTTAACTTCTTGACTTATGATTCTGGTTTGCTAAAACATGCCAGAGACCCCAATTCTTATGCATGTATCAGAATTTTTCTGCATATAACAATGTGCACACCACAGACATAGCATTCCAATTTATTTAGCTGAGATGCTAAAAATGGTACGAAAAGTCCAGAAAGGAATTTTTAAGAACTGTTCTACAGAAATCTGATATTGCAATGCAACAAACATGCTAACAAGCCTTTTGCTATTATTCACAGGTGGAAAATAAAAGAGAATCTCAAAAAATTAAACTGTATTCTTAAAATTTATTTACCATAGGCATCTTTTCAATAAATTTTTCTTCATGGGAGGAAGAGTACTGGTATGTTGAAATCTTTGGATTAAAATGTTGCACTTCATATAGTGTAGCTTTTTTAGCATCAAGTTCAAATTGTCCTCCGAGGGATGACATTTTACCACACAATTCTTCAGGCTTAGTGCATGTCTTCTCATTTATGTGACTGTTTAATTCTTCTAGATATTCCTTTCTATGATAATTATTCTCCAGCTGAGTTTCTATTGGTTTCATCAGTGAATTTTCCTCTTCCAGATTAGCAATTCTTGCTAGTTCAGTTTTCTGTGCAAATTCTATACTCATGGTTACAACCACCTTAATAAAAACATTGAAATACAAAGAAGAGCTACTTCATTCATGCTTTCATATAAACTAATGAATAATCTATTTCCACAAATTAAACATGAGCCAGCAGTGTGGTACAGCTACTAAGACAAATACTAACTTGAAGTGCATTAACACGAACACAATCTAAATCAAAGGAAATAACAGTTTCACTTTTTTCTGTGCTTGATGAGTCTGCCCTACTTATTTGGAGTATTCTGTTTACTTATGGGCACCATAATTCAAAAAGGGTAATGATAAATAGAAGTAAATTCAGAGGAAAGCTACTAGGAAACTATGAGGATCAACAAAAGAATGTGGGTATCTTTCACCTACAGAAAAAATAAAGGGGACAGAACAGTACTCTTCAAATGTGAATTGCTGGGACAAGATGAATCAATCAAAGAGTTAAAGGGCTAAAATCACCACAAAGGATGTTCAGGCTAGACACCAGAAAGTGCTGCCATGTGATATTATGAATTTGCCCTAGATAAATGACTTCAGAGTTTGGATGGTTATCTATCAGAGATGCTCCAGTGCAGACTACACTGAGCACAAGGATGAACTAGATTAGTGGTCCCCCAACCTTTACAGCTTGTGGGGGGAGAGGGAAACTATCCTGCTGTTCATGCAAGTCGAGCTGTGCAAGTGAATGTGCACTGGCCTGCCACTCGCACAAGTTGAGTTGCACGCATGCGTGTCAGCCCACTGTTAGTGCAAGTTAGCTGCACGCACACGTTCCCCAGACAGCCACTTGTGTGACCTGGCCTCAGCCCAGTAACGGCCCGCAGTGCGGGCATTGGGGACCCCTGAACTAGATGATTTGTAACATTCTTTCCAAATATATGAGTCTCTGCAAAAGAAATAGCTAAACATGGAGCTTCCAAAAAAGTGATCAGAATTAAAAGTAAGTGACAAAATGATATGAAACTGAAATGAAGTAATGTTGGAAGGAGTGTTTTAAATATTTATATGGAAATGATAATATTATGTTGAATGGTAGAAATAAAATGAATGCTTTATATGTCAAGTATTGAACTAAAATGATGTAAAAATGTTGAACACGTAGTAAGGTTTTATAGTATTTATGCTTGTATATACCACACATATTAGAAGGAAAATGCTGTGAGCATTGTAGATTGATAGTGTTGTATTATAATGGTTCCTGTAGTCCTTCTTCCTAAAAGGATGAATGCGATTAGCTGGGAAGGAGAACTGAGCTTAATGAGTAGTCCCTTATTACAGGTGATCATTCTCTCTACATTTTAATACGTACATGAGCATATTTGTGAAGGTTATCTGGGGTGAGATATGATTAATATGCTGGTATACAATCAGCAAATGTAGGCATTCTACACTCCAGGCAGAACTGGAGATACTGTTTTCATCAGCACCTAGAAGTTATGGGATCCTGAATAAGATCAAACAAAGCTGAAGTTGAATACTAAGAAAAAGGAATTATACCTCTAGATGGTATTGCACATCCTCTGAATTCTATTATTGCTGAAATTCTAGTATTGACTATTATTGCTGGATAGGACGATACGAGGCTATGCTTAGGGGACTTTTGCCAAGATTTGGCTGGTATGCCAGTTATGGCCCTTCATGGAATGGGAGGATATATCAACAATTCCTGTTTTCATTAGAACCAGAGTAGTCCATTGCAATGTGCACTATATAGGACTATATTTGAAAATATTTATAAACTGCAATTGATAAAGAATGCAGTTATCTGCATGACAGATGTTACAACCATCGCAGTGGTGGGTTGCTCCCGGTTCACACTGGTTCGCAAGAACCGGTAGTAAAAATTTGTAGTAGTTCGGAGAACTGGTAATAACATTGGCTGGCCATGCCCCCAAACCAGTCCCCGGCCCGGTCGCCGCTCACTTAGCCTGCCCACCTCATCAGAGGCTTTTTTTTTTTTTACTTTTAAAAGCATTTTTTCTACGATTTCTTTGGCCGGAAAAAATGCTTTTTTAAAAAACATTTTTTAGTTAAAAAAAAAAAAAAGCCTTTGATGATCGCGGGGCTCAGCTGGGATCGTCAGAGGCTTCTGAAAGCATTTTTTCTGCAAACTATTCGGCCAAAGAGGTTGTAGGAAAAAAAAGTGCTTTTAAAAGCTTGGTGATCCCAGCTGAGTTGCCTCATCATCAAAGGCTTCTGAAAGCATTTTTTCTGCAACCTCTTCGATTGAAGAGGTTGTAGGAAAAAAAATGCCTTTAAAAACCTCTGGCGATCCCAACTGAGTTGCCTGATCGTCAGAGGCTCCTAAAAGCATTTTTTTCTGCAACTTCTTAAGGTTGTAGAAAAAAAATGCTTTTAAAAGTTAAAAAAAAAAAAAATTTGGCCACACCCACCCAGTCACATTACCCACCCACCCCACCAAGCCACAACTGGTAGCAAAAAATTTTAGGACCCACCCCAGAACCATTGGCACTTCTATAGATTTTAGGTATAATTCAAACTTCTGGTTTTTACCATTAAAACTCTACATGGCTTTGTTCTTAGCTACATCTAGAATCATCTTTCCCAGTCAGAACTCCTCATTTAGCATTCTCATCCCATAATGTTTAATGTCACTTACTTTGAGTATGTACCTCCAAGGATAATGTTTGATGACAGCTCCACTTTATGGAATTCCTCCTGCAATTTGGGACCATCTATCTAGAAAGCTATTAAAATGCAGTTTTTCATTGGGCCTTTGAATGTTAGTGTTGCCCACATTTGAGGGGAGCACCAGTGGTTACACTACTATATTGCTTAGATGATGATGATGATGATGATGATCATCATCATCATCATCATCATCATCATCATCATTATTATTATTATTGGTTTTAAACTCTCCTATTGTATCCTAATACAACTGTACCTTTGCCACTTCTTGTAGCAGCTTTTCTTGGTACTGTTTTTCCAGCAATTCAGTTGCATCAGCTTCATTTGGTAACTGGGGGGAAAAGTGGTCATTCTTAATTATTAATTAATTAATTATGTCAGAAATAATTATATTTTGAATACCAACCATATAGAAATATAATGGATAAAAATACAGTCTTGCTTTAAAAGAGGTAATAATGGAAACTGCATTAATACTGCATTATTACTAAGTGCTTTCCTCAAATAACAAAAGCTCAATGCTCTTACACTTATTGTAGCACAATGTTTTGTAGACAGAAATATAATCCATCTATAAAGGAGAGGAAAAAAGCAGCTTTTAGGGTATATTAAGGAAATATATATTTGGTATAAGAAAACAGACCTAATTGCCTTTCTAAAAGTAATGCTAAAAGCTTTTCACAAATGAAAATAGTCACTAGAGCCTCAAGGCTAAGGATGAAATGGCTTCAGCATCATACAAAAAAAAACAAAAAACAAGCCTAATCAATTTCAATAGTTAATTATCTTTTCTAACATTATAATTACTTGTTCTATTATTAGTGTTACACACAGACATAAGCACACATATACACACAAACAAACACATGATATAATTAATTTTATAAAATCAAAATAACATGTTTCATTCCAACTGTTTCAAAGAATTCTAAAATATGTACAAGTTTTGTTTGCACTAGGATTTTGCTTAAGTACAATACCCATGTAAAATATACATTTATAAATTCTACTCAATATACACTGTGTAAATAGGGGAACATAGTACCTCAATTATCTTCTCAGCATTTTTTTGAATATCACCTTCAGCATGTCTTGCTTCCTGCTTATCTTCATTTACATGTGACTCCACAGAAACACTAATTTTTTAAAAAAGGTAATAAAAGGATGGTTTTTTAATGTAATTTCATTTGAAGTTTTTAAACAGGGAATTAGGGCCTGACAATTTCTAATCATAAAAGGAGCCCTTAAATGGGACTTCACTAGGAATTTTATACTTTCCCAACTTTCAGCCTAATATAAGCAGCCTTATTCTTTTCTGCATGATCAACACTCAGATGGAACAAAGATTTTTTGATCCTTTAGTTGTTGCTCACACTATTGTTGGGGCATTTAAACCTGCAGTAAGCAGATGTGTAAGAAGGAAGTGTAGGATGCTGTTATTTAGTCCTGTTCCTTAAATGCAAGTCACTCCTCCTCCTTTGGAATCCAGATTATAGATTATCCTTGAAACGGGACTGCTCACATATTCCTATAGTTCTCTCTTTTTAACTTTATTCAAATCTTGAACAGCAACTTGAAATGGAACAACAGGACATCAATATCTTGCTGCTTTAATATGATGTAACACATTTTATTAAAAGGCATAAACTGCAGCTTCTGAAAGATTATACTTTACCAACAGAAGGCAAAATCTGTAGTTCAGGACTGAATTGAAGGGTCCTTGGTGCTCTCTGAGCTTGGTCGCTTTCTTGCAGACATTTCATTACAAAACTAGGTAACATTATCAGTGCTACGAGAGAGTGGATTTTGCTCTCATTTTATATACTAGTGGCCTGCCATGTCAGGGTTGGTGGGAATGGTCTTGGGTGATTCCTTGATTAGGCCATTTTTTGCTGTTAGCTTGTTTGTCTGAGTTGGTAGCTCCATGACTGGGGTATTGTTTGTTTCTTGACTACTGGTATAATGTTAACTTTAGTGTTAATCTCTGCTCTTCTGGGTGTTTATTGGTGATATGATGATGTTTTAATCATTTCATATCCTTTTTGACTTTTTGATTGTGTCTTGGAATGGTATATAGATGTTAGTTAGTTCCATGTGCCTGACAGCTGATTTATCTGAGTGCCAGGCTTCTAAGAATTCTCTGGCCATCATGTCTTCTGACTGCTAGTTGGTGTTCATGAATGCATTAGTGTTCATAAACAACCTACAGCATAATCAAGGCAACCACCAAAATCATTTGTGAAGGTCACAAATGGCAATCATGGGACTGTGGGATCTGCAGCTGTCCTAAATTTGAGGGGTAATCATAAACCTACTTTTTCAGTACCATTGTTAAGTTCAAATAGTCATTAAATGGGACAGTCCTTAATTGAAGTCTAACTTTATTTTAGATTGTCATCAATTTTCTGTTTCTCAGGTTATAGGAACAGTGGGGCAATACAGAAGACTTTTTTAAAAGTGTCAGAAAATCATAAGCTTTTTTCAGTAATGAAAAAATCCTGCAAATAAATACCCTATTATTAGGTGTATTATTTACACTAAATGAAAAAAGGTATCATATACTAGACCTCATTTAGGAAATACAAATTGTACAATATACCATTTTTACTTGATTATTTATTAATGAAATCAATAATAATCCGCATGACAATTTTCAAGATAAATATAACTAAGCAATCTTTTCTCTTTAGAATTCAGATACATATTAAATATTCTTTTCATTTTACTGATTCCAATAAAGAGATGAAGTAATAGTCTTCTTTTTTTTCTCTACTCTACCCTTTACAAACTGGACATATGTATATATCTATGATTCTGCCCATCTATCATATATAACAATTATGACAAGTTGCAGAAGTCTTTTTCAGCACTACCTAGAAATGCTGAATATTATATCTGGGATCTTCTGAATGTAAACCCTATGCTCTTTAACTGCGTTGCAACATACACTTTACTTAGATCAGGGGTCTCCAACCTCCAGTACATGGTCCACTACTAGGACACAACCTGTTCGAAACCAAGTCGCACAGGTGGTGGGCAAGCATGTATGCGTGCACGCAAAGTTCCTGTCATGCGAGCGGTGGCTGGCTTGAGCTCGTACACAAAGGTCCCTTCACACAAGTGGCAGTTGTCTCGCACGAGCATGTGCCCTCGTATGAGTGTCCATCTTGTGCTTATGCACAAAACTTCCCTCGTGCAAGTGTCTTATGGTGGTGACCTGCACGACTGCACGAAGCACGTGCTTGTGTGTGCCCTACTTATTATTCACAAGGAGCTATACCTTCTCCCCCGCCTCCTGGGCCACCAAGCCCGAAATGTTGGGAATCTCTGTCCTAGATACAACTATAGCTTCTTTTATTTTTTTTAAATGAAACACGAATGGAATTGGGAAAATCCAAGAAAGGAAGGATAAACTCTCAATTTCTACTTTGGTCAGAGTCTGTTAGCATCAAAATTAATTCTGAGTACCCAAAAAAACTGTTGAAATCAACTCAAATCATAAAATAAAAATGAGATCCAAAATTATAAATACCTGGAATTTTCAGAAGTCTCGCTGGCAATTTGGAGTCTATTCTGTAGGTGAACTATCTCTGTGAAATATTTTTCTTCAGTTTCTTTTAACTGCTGATGGAAATATGATCGAAGATGTTCAATTTCTTGGGCATGTTGTTCTTCAAGTTGAAATTTCAAGTTCTCTACTTCTTCCTGAGAAACTGACTTAATTTTAATACCTATAAATGAATAAATAATAAAAACTAGTTTACTTAATAGAAAAACAAGCAATAAATATGTCAGAATAACATATTTTAAGATTTTATACATACACATATAATGTATTTTTCATATATAAGCTGAGTGACAAAATTATGAACATTCATAGGCAGCCTCAACTTACCATGCCTACAGAGTTCAAACATTTTTCAGTGCTATGAAAATAGACAAGAGCTATTTTGCTCTTGAGAAGCATGAATATATCTAGATCTGAACTTAAATCTTTAAACTATAAACATTTTAAGATATTAAATATATACTCAGGTTACCAAATGTAATAAACTAAGATTGTTATACTGTGCTATAGTTTCATTTCCTTTTGTATTTCTTTCATATGCATAACAGTTTTTAAACCATGCATGTCTACTTATATTAACAATATAAGTCCAAAATTTAAAGTGCATACCTTTACCAACTAGATCTTGAGATGCAGTAGGCAAAGGTTCTACATTCTGTTGAAGAGAGCCAATCTCTTTATCATTATAATCAGCATGGGATGTCTGTTGATCTTCCATCTGAAAAATTTAAACAAAAAGTAGAGAAAAACATGTACGTTAATTTTTAAAAACCCTCAAAGTAACCATGTTTGGCAAAAGAATAGAAACTTTTCCATCACATAATGTTCTGAAACTTTTGCACTTCTAACAATGTACTGCTCATAACATGAACATTCAGTAATTCAGTAATAATTGCCTGGACACTTGTATTTACAAACCACAAGAAATATTATATATCCAAGGCTGAAGTTATTATTTCACTTATTCAAATAGCAATAGTACTTAGACTTATATACAGCTTCACAGTACTTTACAGCTCTCTCTAAGCTGTTTACAGAGTCAACATATTGCCGACAACAATCTGGGTCCTCATTTTACCGACCTCGGAAGGATGGAAGGCTGAGTCAACTTTGAGCCTGGTAAGATTTGAATTGTCAAATTGCAGGTAGCCAGCAGGCAGCAGAAGTAGCCTGTAGTACTGCATTCTAACCACTGCGCCACCATGGGCTCAACTGAATGTTATGCTTGTTTATACATTTAAAATTAAACAAAAAAATGTTTTTTTATATTTTCAAATATGCCAATAAAGTTAAATATCAAGATAATGCCTTCTTGCTTTTAGATGTCAGATTTTATTTTATTAAATATAATTTTATTTATTAAGTAAAAGAAGCTATATACCAAAGCCCCAATAACTCCAATAAGATTGATTTCTTAGTGCACTACACACGTTATACTAAATATTTCAAATCATAATATATTTAGGGCACCAGAACATTTTTAATTCAGCATCTTCTGAAAAAAATAAATTTTGCAAATGTTTGAGAAAGTCTATAGCTATTTATATTTCCTACATCATTTTTTCCTCTTATGATACACTAAATAATAAAGATTCTAATGTAAAAAGATTAAGTTCCAGATATACCAAAATAGGTTCAAGAGAACCTATGTCTGATATTTATGATTGTCTTGAGAAACAGAATAGTCATTGTGTGTTTAAATATTCAGCCAATTACAATCTCATAACACTAAAGAGTTCCACAATTAAAAAAAAACACCAAAAGAATTAGAACACATTCAATCCAAATCACAAAAACAAAGTAAGAGGTAAAAGAAATTAATAACAAGAGGTACAAGTTATTCCCTGGATGCGATCCAGTTATGAGGCAAATATGATTGCCGGGAGGGAGCGGGGTGGAGCTTTCCACAGCATTTGTGCTACTTTACAGATATTGCATAGCTTTGATTCTCAAAACTAAGGGACACCAAAGTTCCTCTCTTGATCTAACGGGTATGCCAAAACCAGTAAATAAAATACTTTCTGTATTTTAATTTCTGTATCCACTATCAAGTGGGCCTGTAGCACTGTACTACAGATTGATAAATCAAGATTTAATGTACTCTTATGCAAGTTTATTCAGAAATAGATCTCATTGTTTTCAACAACTGTATCTATACCCAAAGGTGCTTTTTTCCAAAAGGCAAATGAACTTTTTTTTCTTTGAAAACATTTCACTTCTCATCCAAGAAGCTTCTTCAGTTCTAACTGGTGTTCTGATTGGTAGGAATGTTAGCTGTCTTAGAGTTGCTGAAGTCACTTGAGAGCTTATTTGTATTGTCAGAGTGCAAACAGGCGTGGAAGTTTTCTGGGACTGCTGAAAAGACTACATTGTAAACAAAAAATAGGTAGTGTCATATCCCTCCCCCTTTGCTCCACTTTAACGAATCTCACCTTTTTTCTGCTTTCTATGAATTCTACTTGATATTCTAGTAGCCTCTGGGACGTTTCCATTATATTATTCAGGAGACTTTGTAGGGTTTCTTGCAAAACTAAATTACAGAGAATAAATAAACTGTATATATCATTTCATTATTCTAGTATAAATTTTAATTCCTTGTTGTAAAATACATTTTTTTATTAAACAGTATTCTACTTTTCTTATAATAAAGCTACTAAGATATTATCTTCGAAAGTCTAAGGATGTATGTGAATTTTCAATTTCTGCCAATTACTTTAAATAAAAGTACTGAATTATAGCAATAGCACCTAAGACTTATATACCGCTTCACAGTGCTTTATAGCTCTAAGCGGTTTACAGAGTCAACATATTGCCCCCAACAATCTGGCTGAATTATGAGTGATTTCTCTCCCAACATCACCTGTGCTCCCACCTGCACTCCTGCCTCTTCCCACTTTATGGCCCACATTGTTCTGAATGTACGACAGCACATGGGACTGCATTGCTTAGCAAGGGACATTCAAACTGCTATCAAGGACTACCTGTACTATATGAGGACAGAGGAAGCTTCAGAGCATAAAACGGATTTTGTACTTCCATAACAGTGTTCCCCAAGAGAAAAAGCAACAGCAGCAACTTTTGATAGAAGTGACTTGAAACTTTCCTTGCTGGCTTCCCCACTGACTTTACTTGTGGGAGGCTGACAAGGAAGATCACAAATGGTGATCATGTGACTGTGAAGTGCTACGATGATCAGAACTTTGCAGACCAATCAAAAGTTTCCTTTGTTTAACATGTTCTAACTTTGAACAGTCACTGAACGAATGGTAGTCCAGGGACTTCAATTCTATAAACTTTTGTTTAAAGTAAGCCTTGTGACCATGTATAGATTTGCACAAGAAGAGTTTACTTGGAGTTACCTTGAAGGTCTTCTGTTGGCATTAATGCTGAATTATATTGATTTCTCTCACCAACATCAAGTTCAGTAGCATTTGAAAAAAGTTCAGGAAGTATTTCACGTACTGACTATAAAAATAATAAAAATTAATATTATAGCTTTATAATTGATTATATCAAACCAGCTGGGGAAAAAACAAATAAAGCTTTCATAGGAATACTATTTTTCATTCATTAAAAATTACAAGATAATTTTATTACAGGAAAGATCCCTTAGGTAAGCGCCTAAAAGATTCACCCATATTTTCCCAATCCTCATACTTAAACTATAGCCTAACAATATCATAAAAATGCATGGGATACCATTTAACATTTTTGTAAGATTAGAGCAAGAATGAAAACACAAAATTTAAACATTTCTAAGGCAATTTGTTCTTGACCTTAGTGAGCTTTGAACATTCTTCAACTACTTTCTTGCTAAGTTCTTCCAGATGCACCCATGCAGACTGGTCTTTTTCATCTGTGGAAACAAATTATCACTGAAATATTTATTTTAATAAGTTTTATTTTAAGAAACTATGGGTATGGCCTAAGGGGGAGAGAATCTACTGGGAAAGTATTATAAGAAGTTTGGAATTCTAAAAATAATTTCCTTCTGGCTTATCCGTTTACCTGTTTTTTGATTCTCCACAATCTGACTTTTCTTTAGCTCACACAACTCTTGTATATGACGTAGCTGGAGATCTTCTTTAAGAGCAGAAAGAGCATTCTCTTTTTCATTTTCCATGTATTCACGCACCTGATTCACATGCGCTGAATAAACCACAGAGAGACAAATACGTTGGGCCTCCATCTGCAATTTTAAATCATTCTAGGGAAAAATACACATATACAAATTTAATAACCATTTTATTCCCCAAGATGTTAAAGATATAAATGATCTGAGTTATAGTCTCATTTATTAAAACTATATGCTACCTTAATCTGCAATTTTTCAAGCAGTTTATAACAATAGTCTTTTTCAGCAATATATTAATCAAAAAATTAAAACATCCAAAATAGTAATTACTATTTTACAAATGAATTAAAGACCATCAAAAGCAAGGAAAATAAACCTTTCTTTCCTTATAGCCCCAGTGACTTGTGGTGCTTCATTTTTCCCAGCCATGCTAGGATGTTGCTACAGTTGGTGAATGGAAAATGAATATAGGAAAAAACTATTCCTAATAAGCCTAGGTGCTAGGAAGTGGGCATGACTGGAATTCCTTTAAGGTGAAACAAAAACATCCCTTTAAACAACCAAGCAGCAAAGTATTACCTTTTCTAGTCCTCACAATATATGATATGGATTTCATAATTAAGGAAGCTATCCTAATGGCAATATAGTAAAACTTTAACTTTAAAAATAGATGATTATATTTTAGTCTAGAGATTGACATTGAAATAAATTATTATTTTCCTAGTTTTTAAAGGTACATTGGGGTGTGCAATATGTCATTGGAAAGATGTACTAAATATTTTATTTTATTTTATTTTTATTTATTTTATTTTATTTTATTTTATTTTGTTTGTTTGTTTGTTTGTTTGTTTGTTTGTTTGTTTTATATGCTGCCCTTCTCCGAAGACTCAGGGCGGCTTACAATGCTTTTAAGCAATAGCCTTCATACTTTTGTATATACCTGCTTAGTAGGGCTTTTTGCCCCCCCCAAGCGGTGTTCTATTTTATACAAAGTCAGCTTATTGCCTCCACAAACCGGGTCCTCATTTTACCTACCTCGGAAGGATGGAAGGCTGAGTCAACCTTGAGCCTGGTGAGAATTGAACTCGCAGTAATTGCAGGCAGCTGGCAGCTAAATACTATTTTAACAGTAGTTTAGTCTACTGCGCAACCAGGCTCTTAATTTTCACCTCTTTGGAAGGCTTTCTGGAAGAGAATGTTCTGCATTGCTACTCTCATTTCTCCAAATAATTAAGCCTCTAATAATTAATTTTTAAACACTTGGTAAAAGCAGGTGAGTTGCAGACTGACCACCTGTCTTTCTGTCATACTGAACAACTGGCTTTTCCTTTTTTCCCGCCCCACTATTACCTTTCCAATTATTAATCAGAATAACATTTATTTTTAATATCACTGTTAATGCTAATTCTTAAACATTTAAATATTCCTTCATATTCAAATTAACATTTTTTAAAATTGAAAGATTCAATTTTTATTCAAATCTTTTATTATATTCAGTAATAAACTGAAGTATCTTTAGTATCTGTTATGTCCCATTAAGAATATCGCACCATATAAGAAGGAACACAATAGAGATTTTCAACTAAATTCTTCATAGCCTACCAACCACTATTTGTTGCTGAAACTACATATTCTATTTTTTTCAGATTAATAGGTATGTTTAAAGTCTTTTAAATCTTATGTCTACATCACTCTATAAAATAAAATCAAATATTCTAGATGCTTTTTGGGTAACAGCCAAATGTATCTTGATAAATTCCAGGTTATTTTATCATTTACTTGAAATTGATCATGAGAAATATGTAAAAATTTTATTAACACCTGGCAAAAACTATCTAAATGAATACTTCTGCTCAGAAGTAGATGCCAATAACAAAAACAGGTTGGAACATCATACTAGTCCTAGCAGTACAGGATCTTTTCCAGGATTTTAGAGGTGAAGGTGGTAGTGAGCTTAAAGCTTAAGTAATGGATCTGGATAATACCCTTTTCCTGAGGGAACTTCTAGGTGTGCTCACTGGACCATTAGCTGATCTGCTTAACCAGTATCTTCTAAAAGGTGAAGTTCTCCAGGGCTGGTTAACAGCTAATGGTGTACTTATCCACAAGAAAAAGGCTAGGGAAGAAACTGGAAACTATAGGCTTTTGAGCTTAATATATATAGTAGTGAAGTTAATAGATTCACTCCTGAAAAAAACAAAAAAAACAAAGCAGACTCAGGAGCAGATGAGGGCAGATCATATCAAATTAAACTTAAAAAACTAAACCTTTTAAAATATGTCACGAATGTTTTAAATTAAAGTGGCATTGTGGACATAGCCTATCTAACCAGAGCCAGCACTGGCCCTCAACCAACACATGCAACCTCCCCACACCAGCAGTTCCCAATGACCCTGACCTGATGTAATCTTATTACAAGACCATCCCAAGACTCACTGATGACTCACAGCTGACCCATCACAAGACCTTCACTTGACACACCTACACCTGAAGCCCTTATAAACAGAAGAACACTGACACCCCCTAAACTCCGCTGAATATGTTACCTAGCCTGGTAACGAAACATTTGGAAACCAATCCACAAGCTCGGAAAATGAATCTTCACCCTCATCCTATACCCGAGCTACAGATATTTGCCACTATTGCATAGATCTATCTAAATTTTAGTAAAGCATATGATATAGTTCCACATAATATAACGAGCTCATAAAAAGTTGTACAGGATAGAGCTTAACCACTGGTGGTTCACTGGATAAGAAGGTCTTTCTCTGCCATCAGTTTTTTGTGTTTCTATGTTACTATGTTTCAGAGTTATTGACTGATTTGCTATAAATACCTGTGAAAAAATGTCACACATTCAAGGAAAATCATGTCAAATAGATATGTAACTGTACATCCTGAAGAAGCCCTTATTATCACATATTAGCCTACAAAGAAGGCATGCAGAAATGCATATATTCATGCATTCATATATGTTTATCCATACCTGCTCAGTTTTCAACATATCCAGCTGTTCCTTTAGCTTGTTTTCACTTTGCACAAAATCCATATACATGGAGTCTCCTGTTATTTCATGCATTTGATTAAAGTTATCCAACAGTGATTCTGGTTCTGGGCTCAGTTTTTGTTGAAGTATCTCTTCCACTGGAATGCTATGAGCCAACAGCTCACTTGGTATTATTTTTTCTTCTTTGTCTCCTATCAATCTGTCAAATTTCTGATTGAAGTCAGAAATAAAATTTCCAGGTTCATTAACTATAGGCTGGTCTTTGGCTAGTTCCCCACTGCAATTTTCTGTTTCCTGTTCAAAAGAATTCATATTCTTCTCCAATTTATGACTAACTACAAATTCTAGTTCTTTACACCTTGCTGAAATTTGTTCTTTATCTTGTTTTAGGCACATAACCTCTGCATTTAATTGGCTGATTTGATGATGCTTTATTTTTAACTGTTCAGAAAGATCAGAAAGTCTTAATGAAAGTTCTAAATTCTCATGCTGAGAGAGCTCTAGTTTTTCCATAAGTTCTGTTGTGTCTTTTTCTATAACTTCCCCAAAATCTTTTAATACTTTTTCTCTCTTACTGTGAACAACTGTACTTTTAGTTTCCAACCCAGCAGGAAAAACTCCCTGTAAATGTTGAATCTTTTCCATCAAAGCCTGGAGTTTGGTTTTATATTCAGCTTCATTCTTGTCCTTGCTGTCTTCTAAATCCAATTTTACTTTTAAAAGAGAAGTATAATTTTCTTGGAGTTCTTGGTAATTATGATTAAAATTTATTTCAGCAAGTGAAAAGGAGTTTTTTAGTGTATCAATCTCTTCTTTTTGTTTGATGTCTTGTCGTACAAGTTTTTCATTTTCAGCTATTAATTTGTCTATTCTGTTTTGTAAATCAAAATTCTCTGAATTCGAATTGTCACTAGTTAAAATCAAGTTCCCTTCCAGAGTCCTAATTGTGCATTTGTTTAATTTGTCTTGCAGAGCCTTATTTTCACCTTCAAGAACATTATTTTGTGCTTCAACCAATAAATACTTTTCTTGAAGACAATGTGCTTGCTCTTTCATTTGTTTCTCAAATAATTCTGTTTTAAGTTGCAACTCCTGAATTTCCTGTTCAAGTATACATTTTTTCTTTTCTTCTTGTCTAAGAACTTCTATCTCTTCCTTGAGGTTATTTACCAGAAGCATCATTTCTTCGGAAATAGTAATTACTGTAGGTAAATCTTTTAGTCTTGCTATTTCTAATGTAAGTTGATTCTGATTTTTTATTAAGCTGTCATTTTCGAATTGCATAGCTTCTAATTTTTTGTTCATTTCATTTTGCAAATCATCTAATTGTTGTTTAGCTTGCATACTCATATTATCTTTAAGATTTTCAATATTTATTTTGTGTCCTATTTGTAAATCATCTTTCAATTTTGATAATTCTTCTTCATGACTGAATAAAAGTTGAGTCCTCAATCTCTCTAGTTCTGCTTCTTGAGATTCTGCCATCCTATCCAAAACAGCATCCTTTTCTTTTTCCAGCATTTCAAGTTTTATTTTGTAGTTTGTAATTTCTGCCTCATGTTTCATTTCTAGTTCTTTCTTGATTTCTGAAGCTGAAGCAAGTTGAGCTTTTAGATCTCCAATAGTGATTTTTAACGTATCTACTTGCTGCAATTTGGATTCTTTTTCATTTATAGTCTTCTTAACTCTTTGGATCTGTTCTCTTGCAAAGCTCAGTTCTTGACAAAGATCTTCCACTTGATTTTGAAAAGAAGATTTTTCCAAAGATAACAGTTCAACCTGTTTGGATAATTCTTGTTTTACTTTTTCTTTTTGATAATTAGCATCCTGAAGCATCTGATTCAACTCATTAATTGTAGTATTCATTAAGTGCATTTGGTCTTCATTAGTATTATCAGAGCATACTTTCTCTAAATCTGCTTTTTGTTGGGCAAGGAGTTTTGCGATTTCTGCTGAATGTTCTCTGATTAATTCTTGCTTCAATTGTACAATCTGCTGGCCATGCATTTCTTCTAATTCTGCCCTGAGATTTGCAAGTTTCCTTTGGGCTTCAAATTCCATTTTTTCTTTGATATCATTCTCATGTTGGGTATCTTTGTGAAATCGCTTTTGCAGTTCTTCCACAGTTCCCATTAACTGTTTTATTTCATCAGAGCATTGCCTTTCTTTTTGTTTAGAAATTGTTAGTTCAAGCTTTACATTATCCAGCTCTTGATTCTTTTGAAAAGTCTCTTCTTTTAATTCCTCTAGAGATTTCTCAGCAATTGATATTTTTTTCAGATATAGAAATATATTTTCTTCATGTTCTGTACATTTTGCTTCCAGTTGTTCAATAGTTGTTTGTTGTTCATTCATTTTCTTCTTTGTAGAACAATCTTCTTCATCTTTCCATTTTTCCTATAATAAAAAGTTTACTTATTTTATTTATTATAAAATTTCTAATGTACTTTCATATATCTCAGATTTCTTAAGTTTTATATTATTATAAAAAGCTACTGATTTTTAGAAGAACACATTAAAAAAGTTAATAAAATGACCATAGGATTTGGATTCAAATAGTACATTAAATTGTAAAACTGGATTTAAAAAAGTAACTGTTCTGTTTGATAATACGTTATGTCTATTCAAATAAACTACATTATGATTTCATGTGATAATCTTATTCTCAAAATATATTTTAAATCAGTGGCTAAGTTTCCATGACATAACAGCCAACTTTATTTTTGCCTAGTCTAACCATGTTTCCCAGTCAGGAAATTAAAAGAATAAGAGGTAAAAAAAAAACCCATTAAGCTTATTCTTGCCACATGTAGTCTCCATAAACTGGTTAGAGTAATAGATATCACCCCTCATGCAGGCCAAAAATTATCTCATGTTTGTTGCTTTTTTCATAATTCTTTGGCAGGTGCTATACGATAAACCAAACATGATTAAAGTTTTAAAAGAATAAAAAGAATAAAACAAATAGTCAATGCAGTTCTATATAGACAAACCACAGAAATACCTGACTGAATAATAAGAAAAAAGCTAAACAGCCCTTTTCATTATCCACATTGCACAGCTTAATTCTCACTGTATACTTTAAACATCGCTAATGTGGCTAAGTGAAACTTGCATGGTGCAAGGTCATACACATACTTTAAAACTAAATATTCAGTTCTCTTCAACCCATGTTTTATATTATTGTGTATCTATAAGTGACAGACAACAATTGTACCAGTTTTTTTAAAACAATAACTATGATAAAATACACAAGTCTTAAAATACAAACCATGTCCATGATTTTATGTTGCAGAAGGGAAACCTGCACTTCAAAATCTTCATTTTTCTTCTGATAGTTTCTCAATAGCTGCTCTTGTTCTTCAAGCTGTTGCTGATAGGCAAATATCTGTTGCCTTGCTTGTAGTAAATCAGCCGCTGTACTGCTGTGACTACTGTTCCTTAAAGTTTCACTTGCCTGTAACTTATGAACAGAACAGTATGTTAAGAGACATTTTTTGAAAAAGTGGCTTCCAAAATAAGCATTCTCAGTAATGTATTTTTATTGCTCTCCCACATGTATTTTGGCATTCAGATCATGTAAAAGGCATGTATTTTGCACTTTACAGAGGAAACATTCTTAGTCTGAGACATCGTAAAGAGCAATGTATTAGCAATCCCATGTTCCTTTTCCTCCTGAATTTTTATAACTTACTTCTCTGATGCAATCAACCATTGGCCAGAATAAATTATCCTGAAAAAGACTAAATTTATTTGAATATACTTTTTGGGTTTATAAAAGAAAAAAGAGCTTCATTCAGGGTACCAATGATTAGTTGATATAGAAAACTTTCAGTCACACTTTCAGATATATGCATGCAATAGAACAGGGATCCCAAATCCTCGGGTTGTGGCCCTTTACCAAGCCATGGCCTGTTTGGAACTGGCCCATGTGAGTGGCTGACTGGTGCATGTACTTCCTTTCTTTTCAATGAATTCAGAACATGAAAGAAATGTGTACATCCCTTTTTATTCAGGAGAACACAGAATTCTTCCTAATGGCTCAAAACAATACAGACAGTAAGATGCTTCTAACTGATCTGAATAAACAAAATAGCTTTTGATGGGAACCTCGCTAAATTTGATTCTCTATCCCCACACTGAAATGTGTTTAACTAGTTCCTCCTTGCATTTCACAAGGCTTTGAAACCTATATTGTTCAAGCTTGCTTTTGCCAAATTAAGGAAGATTATCTTTGTATTTGATGTTTCCTGATTTATTGTATACTGACCAGATTCAATGTACTGATTTTTAAGTAAACTGAATCCTGAACATAGTCTTATCCATTCTTCTCCCGCTCAAGTTTGTTCAAACTGAACTTTTTATTTTATCGGATAGTCAAACTACTGCTTGTGAACTCTCTATATCAGCACTGTTTTCAGCTTGTAACTCTAATTGGAAAGATTTAAACTAAAATTTTCGAATTTGGATAGAATGAAAAGGTCATTATTTATAAGACAGAAAACTGAAAGTATCATTTGCAAAGTGAAAGTTTAATATGAATCTAGTCAGAGAATAATATATAAAATCAAAATCAATCCATTAACTCAAAAATGGGTCTGCCTAATGGGAAAGTAGAGAAAATGACAGATATACATTTTTCATTCAATAACTGGAATGATTTAAGCATAGTTTTTAATTTTAATAAAATATCAGTTACTTACATGCTGAAATTGAATTTGCAGTTTTTGACTCTGTTCTGTCAATTCCAAAAATTCCCTCATAGTTTCATCTTTTTCCATCCTGGCTTGCTGCAGATTAGCAGTGAGCTGAGTTATAATGTTGTCTCTTTTTTTGATAGCAGTTTCAAATTCCTGAAGCTAGAAAAAGTTATGTTAAATATTACCATTTATAAGGAACTCTATATCAGTTCAGGTGAGTCTTGGATGCATACCATTACAAATATGTCCAGATATTTAGAATGCAGAAAAAAACAAAACATGTTTAGTAGAAAGGCATAAAAGTAGGTTCTCTACTTATTAACGTTATTAATGGGGAATAAGGCTTGCCAACTTTCTCTTTGATGGTTGCTTGATTAGGCTATTGTTTCATCAAGGAGAAAGCCACATACCTACAAAAATTGACAGGGCAAGCTAATTTAAACAAACAGTCTGCAAATCTCACTGGTACCGTATAATTTATCTAGCCTGGCAATGAAACATCTGCAAGAAAATAACAAAGCTCTGAGAATGCTAAAAACTCCACAGTACAACCCTGAGCTACATATATTCTCTTTATGTATAACAGAATATTGATTTCCTTGCTAATGATATTATTTTTACCATTTAATACTTTAAAATGCTAATATAAATAGAGGTTTTTGTTACTTCAATATAGTTCTAATATTAGTACCTTATGAACAATTTTTTACATTTCTAAACATTTTTCCAAGAACTGATTTTCAGCACAAGCCCCAAATAATTTTTTTTAATGTTGGCAAAAGAATATGGGACTGCTTGGTTTTTATACTCCCTTGAATAAAACCTAAAAATCTGAAGAACTAAAACTTCCATCATCAAACAATTAGCAGTCATTCAAATATCATGCTGCAAAAAGATAAAACAAAAGGACAAATGGGGACAATGTTAAAAAAGAAATTGAATCCAATGAAAATTATCCTATTGGGTTGAAATAAATATTGCTGCATACACAAGACATATTTTATCAGGAAGCTGTTTTCCCAACCATCAATTCAATGCAGTTTTAAGTTGGAAGATGTCTTGGTTTCTCTTTCAGGCCTTCGAGGTTTCTCTTTCAGGTCTGTGTTCAGCTTTAGAAGAACACAAAATGAGCTCAGAGTTGAAAAAGAAAACATAAACCAAATATTTCTTTCCATTGATTGTAGCAGATGGGATAGGATTATGTAAATAGTAACAGAGAAGTAAAGAAAATGCTTTGCAATATTAGGTTACAAACTGGAATCTTTACTTAACCTCATTTTCACTTTGAACGTGCTATTTTTCTTTTTCAAATTTCTCACTAAATAGCTACATTACAAAAATCAAGAAAGATGTATTGTATAATAAGTATGTAAAATTAAAAAAGAGATTAGAGTTCTTTTTATAAAATAGTTTCCTGCATTTTTAAATCAATCCAATAAATTATTTTTTAGAAGGTTTTACCCTTATTTAAGCATTCTCTATATTTAGCAAACATTGTAACATATTATACCTTTCTAACTCATGTCAATCAATTATACTCTCAGTTCCCTATACATGCACTCTAGTATATTATGGTATCTAGAATCAGTTATACCAATTATACTGAAACTATTTTCAGGCCTTCTTTGATGAATATAATAAAACATAATTGTGATACTAAATGGGCAAACTCAAAAACAAGATATCAAAAGATTATATAGTAAGAGATACAGATAGTCTCCAATTTATTATTGTAATTGAGGCCACACTTTTGGGCATAACATCATGACAGTTATAAAGTAAGTCTCTATGTAACTACATCCACTTTTATGACCTTTTTTGTGGCAGGCATTAAGCAAACCCAGTAGTTGTTAAGCAAACCATTGTTCACTCTGGGGCAGATTTTTCCAGAAACTGGAAATAAATGCTGGTTTCTGGCAAAAATGTCATAAATCATAGTCAACTGCAGTGTGCAGTGAATGGCCATAAATATGCCAAGTACCAAAAATGCAGTCACATGACTCAGGGAGCATGGACATTGGAACTTTGAATTCAGATTCTAAGTCTCATTTTGGGGTTCATCATAACTTTGAATTTAGCTTAGTGACTGGTCATAAATTGAGGACTACCGTTAGCTGAAAGATGAGGAAAGAAAAGCACTGTAATTATATCCAGACTTTTTAAAACACATATACTCAAAAGTTGAGTAAATTCTTTCTCCTGCAAATACTAAACCAACACAATGATTTTAAACTGTTAACATTTTAATATTAAGACTTATAAAAATCTTGTTAAGAAGTTTTTTTCATTTAGTATTTATCTTTTATTAAAAAACAGATCTACTGCAACCTAGAATAACAATATTACATTCTAAATTTAAAAACAAACAAACATCTAAGCTCGACAATTTATTTAGGCAAATAAATAGTGGGATAAAATGCACTCTGAAAAACTCCAACTTTTTCCTGTTACTAGAAATTACTATTAAGAGGTTGTTTACTTTCTATAAAGAGAGCAAATTTAGTATAAGTTACACATAAAGTAATAAAGGTGGGATATAAATAAATCTATCAAGTAAATAAATGATATATCTTTCCAGACTTGTATTTAGATAGCCTGAGAAACAGAAAATTTTAATGAACTAAATAATTTAATTAAAGTTAAGGTGTAAAACACAATTGTTTCAACATATCATAATAAATAGCGATGACTATTTATTACTAATTATTGATACATGGTATAATGTAAGTTTTGGGTGGCCTGGGACCCCCTACAGCGTACCTCATTATGGAACATTTATTTGCTTTTAAGGATTTTATGCAAGTGTTTGCACTTTAATAAGAATATTCTGAATTATAAGAATAAATAGAAAAAAAAAGCATGGTAGTGCTGTGTATATCACATTTCCTTGTTTTAGCAGAGAATACTTACATTTTCTGGAATAATATTTGGAAGGAAAGGGAGGGATAGAATGGGGGAACACAGAATCCACAAATTATTTTGCTGAAGTAAGACAACTCAGATTCTGACAAAACCATGGCATACTTAAAATATTTTAGGCATAAAAATAAAGATTTGCAAATAGGCTATCACAAAAAATTACTTCAGCATCTTCCACAGTTCAAATCTTATTCTATTTAATTTTTAATTAACTCCTTTTATCTTTTATAAAGAGGCCAGGTGGTGGCACAGTGGTTAGAAAGCAGTATTGCAGGCTAACTCTGCCTATAGCCTAGAATTTGATCCTTCTGAGATGGATCAAACGAGGACCCAGATTGTTGGGAGTTTACAATGTTGACATTGTAAATGTCCCAGAAAGTGCTATAAAGAACTATAGAGTGATATATGAGTTTAAGTTCTATTGCTATTACTATCTGTCCAAATACTCTGGGCCACAAAACAAAGCACCACAAAACTTTACATCATTTTATAAGTGTACAATGCCTAACAGTAAACATACACAGAAACAGAAACACCTTATAGGTGCATTTTCTGAAATCTTCCTGTAATTATTGTATCTGTCAAATTTGAAAAATAAAAACAAAATATATAATCTTTATATAAGAGAAGAGAAACCAGATATAGTATGAAAAATTGGGATAAAGTTGCCTACTTTGAAATGCTATTTTCCATCGCTATTTCATCAATAATCCAAAAGGACAGATAAAGAATGTGTACTATAGGCACATACTAAATAAAATAGGCACAATAGCAGGGTAATGTGCACCGAATGCAAATGATAATTATGTGTATACGTTTTAATTGTGCAGACATTATTAATTTAATTTATATTGTATGCGACCCATCCAGCATCCAAAGTGATTCCTCAGTGTTCTTCTAAGAACTGGATTTATATGTTATCCAGGTCCAAGAAATGGATAAATTTTATTGCACCATTACCTTATCAACCACTTTCTTGATTTATAAGAGGAACGCCAATTTCACTGTCCTTTGTCTAACAAGACTAGGGAGTATTCTTTAAAAAAAAATAACCCTATTATTTTTTATAGAATTAAGGTTAAAACTCATTAAGAACTGAACCAAAAATGTGGAAGCTGAAGCAATAATTATACTGATACTTCTAATATTAGTATCAGTAAATGAAACAAAAAATTAACATTTTCAGCAACTCAGATTGTACCAAACATGCAGAAAGCAACATAAGGTAATTATACCTGTTGCAACCCATCTGTACCATACGCTGCCCTCATTTCTTCTAGCTCTTTATTTAGCTCTTCAATCTCTTGCTGCTTTCCAGCCAATTCATTCTTCATCATCTCCAGTTCTGTTACAGTATTCTGCACCTCATGACCAGTATACTTCTCTCCAAATTCCAATTCTTCTTCCTAAACCAATTCAAGGTTCTTAAAACCCAGCATGGTATAATATTGTTTTAGAGTGAAGATATGTAAAATATTTATTTTTCTGCAAAATGACACAGTACTTTAGAGCATTGCTATGGAAACTAACTTTATTAGTATAGCTTGCTCTATAACAGCAACAGCATATTAGTCCAAATTAAATTTTAAAAGTTGTCTTCTCAATACTGTGAAAATGCAACAGAAGAATAGAGCACGTAAACTAGAAATTGTTATGGCATGCAAGTAGAAGAATTGCAGTTAATAGTCTTAATTCATTTCTCAAAGCAAATCACTTAGTGTTTTAGTATTAACTGCCACAAATTAATTATAAATACTGTACCCTAATAAAGTCAGAAGGTACATCGGTTCTTGTCAAAAAATTGCCACCATTTATCTGAATGAGAAAAATGTCTATATGGGTTATATTTTAAAATACAACTTAGAATGCAATTGATGTGTTCTTAGAAATAACTATCTGTCCTTTAATAAGTATACAGTAGACTCTTATTTACTCCTGATTAATTATACATCCAGTTTACTTAATCAATATAAGGAAATAGTCTTATCAGTAAAGTAAAATAAGGAGAAAGTCATTTTTGTAATATTTTTCCCCAACAAAGACTTGGACGATGGAAAAAACATGTTTAAAGGATTTCATTGGACAATTAGTATTTATTGAATCAGGATTTTTTTTTTCTTAATGCAGAAGTAGGCATAAAGGCTTGATAAAGATATCATGGATAATTTATGTATTTTTAAAAAGAAAATACTTCAAGGTTTCTATTACATTATGACACAAAATGTTTTTCCACCAAAAAGTAATAGAAATCTAACAAAATTTGTCATCTAATGTCGGGAACTATAAGGAAGAGTTATAGAGATGGAAGCATCTAACCAAAACTGACAGATCCTAACAAAGCTAAATTGGTCAGACCCGATTAGTAGTAGGATGAAGGACATCAACAAATCCTAGGATTAAGGCTAAATTGAGAGAGAGAGAAACATGGAAGAAAAAGTTATAAGCCACTTCCATACTACTGCCAAAAATCTACGTAGACACATTCAAATAATCACCGGCAATTGAACTTAACCTGAGGATAAACTTACTGGGTATGATTCCAAGACTCAAATGGAAGAAAACAGAAGTGACAATTACAAGTAACTTATATTTGAAAAATACATCACAGGTTCTGTTATTCCAAAAATACCCAATATAACAGCTGACACAAAACTCCAGAGGTTTTCAAAAAGATGGATTCTGAGTTGAGTAATAGAATTTTATTTGTTATGTTAGTAACTAACACCTTACCTAGGACACTAAAAGGCAGAACTGAAGTATATTGAAATATTAGATATTCTGACAAAGATTAAATAAATGTCCGCTATGCATAAATTATTAATACAAACGTATCAGAAACAATTTATGCTTCTCACCATTTATCCCTGTCTTTTTGGTTCACCTTATAGCTTTCAAGGCCTTACATTCAAAGCCACTGCTGTGCTTATTCGAATATTTGTGCAAAATGAAGCACAACAAAAATATAATGAATTATCAAATACTTGACAATGCTGTATTAAATCATTTCATTCAAAGTACAACTGAAGTAGCCTTTAAGCAATAGCCCTACCACCTTATGGGGAAAGGACAGAAGTGTCAAAACCTTCTTCTCACCTAATTCCCTCCATCATGTTTGACCTGTTAGGAAACTAATAGGCTTCTATGAAGTTCAATAAATAATTTGACAGAGGATGCAAAAGATGTGCTCAACAACAACTTGTATGGATGAGTCTCTCCATGAGAAATGGTCCTATGGATGAAGGAACCAATATGAATTGGACAATGGCACAGAACATTGAAGAGATTGGGCTTCACTACAGTTCTGTGTCCTGTATTCAATCAGCCATAACTGTCAACCTTCTGGGAGGAGAAAACTCTTGAAGAATTGAATGCCCTGCTTGCAAAGAAACTCACTCTCTTCATTTTAAAAGCATTATTTATAGTAAAAAAAGAACGGTCACTGGAAAGCACTGTTGCTCTCCTTTTACACAAAAATAGAAAAAAATATGTTGCCTATAAATGAATGGTAGTCAACATGTGGGCCTGACTACAATACTTTTCTAAGCTTCCAATTATAAGCCTCATATAATACAGCCTCTTCTGAATCCATAACTAATTCAACTTATTTCAAATTGTAATCATCAATTTTATAAGTAATTTTTTATAGTATGTGGGAGAAATCTCATCCCAAGAGGGTCAGACACAAAAAAGAAAAACTTATATCTGATCTGTCAATCAAATTTAAACCTATCAATCTAGATAAGAGATAATGAGGGAAATTTAAGAAATTCAAATCTTAAAGAATCAATAAGGAATATGAAAATTTACATGGCTTAATTTTTCCTTGGTACTTTGTTTTCATGGGAGGAGCAGAACAGATCTATTCCAGCTTGACTTAGAGACAAGCAAGTAAAGCCCTAAGTTTCAGGGATGTGGAAGCTGGAGAATCAGGAATGATATAACTATCTGAAGAACAATGGAGCTAAAACAAAGTAACAATTTGGATTGATTGATTGATTGATTGATTGGATTGATTGATTGATTGATTGATTGATTGGTTCGATTTATATGCCGCCCTTTTCCGGAGACTCAGGGCGGCTTACAATGCGTTAAGCAATAGCCTTCATACTATTGTATATTTTATACAAAGTCAGCTTATTGCCCCCACAAACCGGGTCCTCATTTCACCTACCTCGAAAGGATGGAAGGCTGAGTCAACCTTGAGCCTGGTGAGATTTGTCTTTGTTTCATTTTATTATACTGTTATTTATTCTCTTTTGTCTATTCTATAGGAATGTTTCTTAGTGGAGAAGCAATTAAATAAAGAGCCGAGGTGGTGCAGTGGTTAGAGTGCAGTATTGCAGCTACTTCAGTTGACTGATAGTTCAGTCAGATCAGTAGATCAGCAGATCAAATCTCACCGGCTCAAGGTTGACTCAGCCTTCCATCCTTCCGAGGTGGGTAAAATGAGGACCCAGATTGTTGGGGACAATATGCTATTTAGTATACTGTCTTTGGTGTAAGCTGCCCAGAGTCCTCGGAGAGTGGGCAGCAAAGAAATACGAACAATAAAATAAAATAAATAAATTGTTCACCTCTTTTTGTTTTTTGTTCTTTGTGGGTTCCTTAATTTCAATTTAAAATAAAAAAGGGTTCAATTTCTTTGCTAATCAGTCCATTCTGACATTTTTAACTTTATACACTTCCTGCTAGGCTAAGCTACTGAGAAAAGTTAAAGGAGATTCCATTTTATCTAAACATTAAACTACTGCAAAAAAGAACTAAAGAGTGTGTTGGCTGCATACATAACAAGCTACTCACAAATGTATGAGAAGGTGAAGTAGGAGAGTGGTAAATAGAGGTACCAAGGGGAACAGTATACAACATCCCCTTTCATTACAATGTTCCAATGCTTTCATATATGCATTACAATTTTTGTTATATGCTTAATATATTTATGTTCAAATAGTAAAAGACCAAAAATCAAGTCAGTATATTCATACCTAGTACAATTAGAGTATATGTATATAATACAATAACATTTCTACAGTCATATAACTATATTCTTATGTGCATTTATGCATGCGTGTGTGTATATGTGCGTGTGTGTGTGTGTGTGTGTGTGTGTGTGCTGTATACTGACACAATTACACACCACAAAATAGTCCAATAATATTTGAAAATTATTGATAAACCCATTTTTGCAAAGCTATATCATGTTATTTGGTCATAAATATCCCTCCTAAAATTATTTTTAGGAATACTTATTTAGATGTGTATTGTAGGCTATCTTTCACTATGCTGATTGTATAAAATGGTTCACATAAAATAAACTGACATAAGAAAAATAGAGTACAAATAATTTAAAGCAGCATTTAAAAAACTATGTTTCCTTAAACAACATATAAGACATCATCATCTTACCTCTGAGCTGTAATCATCTGCTGGAGTGGAAAACTCACTTTCTAGCTAAAATAGAAATAAAAATAAAAAGATGAGAATTTTTAAAGTAATCTAACATAGGAAGATAATGGAAACCTTTAGTATCTTAAACAAGAGTTGCTAGGCAGCATCTGTTATTGCTAAGACTGCATAAAACACATTTTAACACACATTTTAACACACATTTTAAAAAGATGCTTATATTGGAAAAATGAAGTAAATGTAATGACTTTTGAAAGTAAGGCTTGAATAATAAGGCTTGAATAATAAACAAAGATTACTCTTGACAATTGGTAATTTGAATCTCTTTTGATATTTCTCTTTCCTGGAAACATTTTATTTTACTGACTTCGCCCATATTTGAATCCTGGTACAAATCTTTAGTATAAACTAACATTACAGGGAATTCAGCATCACAATGGTGACATTCCTTAAAGCTGACTGTGATATTACATAAATTGCAGGTGGAAAAAAATTGATTATTACAGCCAATCTCAATAAAAGTAGTTTTAGCTTTACTGTGAAATTAATTTCCTGGCCTGGTTTATCTAGTGGGGCTGAAAGTTGGGCCAGAATATGTGTTGTGCTTGATATAAGCTGCTCAGATTCGTTCAGCAGCTCAGTGATCTCCAAATATAATAAAATAAATATTAAAGCCTTGGTCCTTTGCCAATTTTGATGCCATCAATCATGGTATCCTTCTGGACCAGCACAGGCGGTTGGGAATGAGGTCATGGTCTTGATGAAGTTATCTTTCTTCCTTTAGTGCTGGTTCCAGTTAGCGTAGACGGGAGGACAGAAACCTATGTTCTTGCGGTGTGGGTACTTCTGGGTTCCTCAATATCCTTGTTCTTGTTTTACATTTCCATGACACCAATGGGAAAGGTCATCCACAGTATGAGGTTAGACGGTATCAATATGCTGACAATACCCAGTTATATATCTCAACTCTGAGCCAACCAAGTGATACTGTCAAGCTTCAATTTCAATATCAATGTCTAGAGGCTAGCAGTTTGAATGCAAATGTATTTATGCTCAACCTTTGACAAAAGAAATGGCTGTGAATTTGGAGGGGCATTCTGTTCCAGAGATGTTTCAGAGTTTTATATAGGACTATGCTATCCCATACAGAAGTGTTATGCAATTTTGAGGTTCCTATAGACTTCTGGTTCCACAAATCATCTTGTATGATAAGTGCACCCATTTATGAATTTGGAGCTCTATTCACAGTCAGTGGATTCTAGTTATACTTTATCTGGATTACTACAATGTGCTTTACATGTTGTCCTTGATAGCCCAGAAGTGCCCACATGGCAAGAACATAGGTCTCTGTCCTATCTACGCTAACTGGAACCAGCCCTAAAGGAACTAAGTTTCTTAGCTTCTACACGTTCAGTAGAATGTGTAACAGATTGTGGAAGCATGAGTAGTTATGGGTCCTCTTGTGTACTCTTGTACTGGATCGATCCGGAGCTCTGTTAGCAGCTGCAGATGTCTTCTGGCAGCATCTGAAGATGAAATGGAGGCTGGGGCGATCTGTGCAAGTGGTAGCAAGTAGCCACAGAAGACGCGGCTGCAGAAGAAGGAGAAGCACGTGTCGTGGCGGGTGAGGCCTAGTAAATAGGGCAGCACACACACCCATCCCCACCCTAGCTTATTTTTTATCTGTGTGCCTCGCCCCACCACCTGCACCCCGGGGTGGGCAGGGTCTTAATTAGGGCTAACTTTGTGGGTGGGGCTTAATTTGTTGCATGTGCTCAAAAACGTGATAGGGCTTCTTTTCAAGGAGGGTTGTCTTTTTGGAGAAACACGGTATTTATAAATTGAAAAATACTAATAAGGTTAAGAGTATTTTCAGATTTATAGATAGAAACATTTGATAACTTATTTTGTATTTTGTGTCATGTACTGATATGATCTGTGAGGACCCCCAAGGACTTCCAACAGACATTCAGGTAGTTCTTGTTTAATGTCCATTTGTTCAACCACTACTTTTTTTTTTTTAATTTGATTTATATGCCGCCCTTCTCCAGAGACTCAGGGCGGCTTACAATGCGTTAAGCAATAGCCTTCATACTTTTGTATATTTTTACAAAGTCATCTTATTGCCCCCATAAACTGGGTCCTCAATTTACCTACCTTAGAAAGGATGGAAGGCTGAGTCAGCCTTGAGCCTGGCAAGATTCAAACTTACTAATTGCAACTACTTGAACTTAGGATAGTGCTGAAGGGACTTACAAGTGATCCTCAAAGTTCCTATTTGGCTTCTTCTTTTGCACACTAGCTAAAGAAGCTTGGTATGTGAGAAAAGGCCTTATCTTTCACATCTTGGGCTTCTTTCATAAAAGAAAGCCCTGGCTGACATGTGAACAGAAGCCCTGGGCAGGGCGTGAAACAAGCCCTAGCTATACCAGTGTGAAAGAAGGCAGCATGAAAGAAAGTCCTGGCAGCTGTGCAATGCGATGTGGCAGGTATAGTTGGGCAGCTGGATTGCCAGGCATCGAAAACGACAGAGATGGAAGTAGATAGATAGGTGAGGAGAGTTCAAGAAGAGGCAGCCTGTCATTTTACTGAGGCTCATGCTGAAACAGGCAAAGCAGGATTGGCTTGGAGCAGGGTGGATCCCCTCCTATTGACCAGTGGCATTCACTTAATTATGGCAATGGAGACTGCTGGGGTTGCCAATGGCAAAGTGATGTGGTCATGTGACATCACACTTTAAGACCGCAGTGTTTAGCGACAGAAATTCCAGTTATAATTATCATGGCTTACCTGAGGGCTACCTATATTACATTCCAATATAACCAACTATTAACTCAATATTTAGAGATTGCCAATAACCAGTAACATTTCAAATAAACATCAATGTAGATTATTTTGTGAGATGATTTTAAAACACCACAATTTCAATAATTGTGCAGTTTCCAATACATTGGATATGCAACAATTGTCCGTATCCAATAATACGCAGTTATTTTTTTAAATCAATATTTATACTCTGTCTTAATCCTATTAAACTCTGGCACTATAGCCTCTTATGGTGGTACTGTTATTAATACTATTGCCCATGTTAAAAACAGTGGTTACTTTAACTTTTACACAGGAAAATTACCTGCTCTTACATTCAAAGCAAATTTGAATATTTCAAAGCATATTTACAATATATAATATACTACACCATCTAACAATAAATAGCCTCGAACTTTAACCTTGGTTTTTTTTAAAAAAAAAATCTCAAAGTCTGAAATACTTACTTCTGTGGAATATGTTTGATCATGCTTAATCATTTCATCACTGTGCAAAGTTCTCACTGTAACAGATTCAGATGTAGCAGCTGCTCCTCTTTGAAAGCTATGTGGGGACGCTTCTTCTGTTTGCAATTGGTTAATATCCAAACCTTCTTGTATAAATTCTTCATCTTTGATTTTCGTTATCTTTTTCTTCTTCTTCTGCTTCTTAAATGCATGCTGTCCATCAGAGTATGCTTTTCGTTGCCTAAACTGTGCAAGCTGAACATAAAATAAAATCCTGTTAGAGCAGACACGGTTATTTTACAGCCTGTGGGCCCAGTGGTAGGATTCAAATAATTCCACTACCGGTTCACTGAAAGTGTGAGTGTGCGCATGCATGTGCGCACGGCTTCCACACATGCACACACAGCCTCCATGCATGCAGGCGTGCACACGGCTTCTGTGCATGCGCATGGCTTCTGTGCATGTGCTAATGCACAGCTTCCATGCACAGCTTCTGTGCATGTGCAGCTTCAGCCACGTGGCAACTGAGCAGACTTTCGGGGCCTGCTTCCTTCCATCTCTACTCTCCAGGGCAGGGCTGCTTCTATCTGCACAGCTGGGAGAGCATCTTGTGCAATTTAGCAGCTGTGAGTCCCATCTGGAAAGTGCTGCGGCTGAGAGAAACAGCATTCAACATGGTTGCTGCTTCTCTGTGTCACAGCACTTTCCGTATGGGACTTAGAGTAAAGTGGTGGCTCACAGCTGCTAAATTACACAAGATGCTGTCCCAGCAAGAGCAGCAGTGGAGAGAAGCAGCTGCCAACCTGGAGACCCATGGAATGTCTCCGCAAGCAATTGAGGCTCAGCAAGGGATGGAAGAAGTGGCTGCCAAATCTCTGCTGCAGCACTTTCCAGAGGGGACTTCTTACAGGTAAGAAGAACCATACGGTCCATTCCCAAACTGCTTTGGTCCTTCTGTGCCCATGCTGCCCCCCCGCCCCCGCAGCCCTTCGGCCTAGCACAGCAACATAAATTGCTTCGGCCTCGGGGGGGCATAGTTGGAGGCCAGAGGGGAGGCGGAGGCATGCGAGGGAAGCCCAGGGCAAAGCCGGAGCTAAGTAATGGTGTGTCCCTGGGCCCTGACCTGAGTAGAAGGGCAAGCGGGCATGCTTACCTTTGGTGAGCAGAGCAGTGAGGTGTGGAGGCAAGGCACAGAGATTAGTTGGGCCCGTGGCGAAGGCAAAATATATAGGACAGGGTGGGATGGGATGGGAGAGGCAAGTGGCAACTGGGCAGGCAGTGAGCTGGTAGGGGCAGGGCCAACCAGAGGTGGTATTTGCCGTTCTCAGAACTACTCAAAATTTTGGCTACCAGTTCGCCCGAACTGGTCTGAATCAGCTGAATACCACCTCTGTATGGGCGACATCCTGCCCTTTAACTGTCCCTGTCTGGTCCAGATGGCAATGGCAGGATGGCAGTGGTGGGGTGAAAGTGGGATGGAGGTAGCGGCCCTCCCCAACAGCCCCAGTTTCTCATTTGGCTCTTTGGGAAAAATGCCAACCCCTGTATTAGAGTGAAAGACTTCTAATATATTATATATGAAAATATTTTTTTAAATGTATGAACTTTCAATCTGTAGATTAACTCAGATTAAAGGTCATTTTTTTTACATACAGTGTGAAAATAAGTTGTAGTACAATAAGAGAATCAGTATGTAGCCTATTTAATATATATCTTGAAATCTTCAAAGTAGTCAGTAATTTCTTAGAAATAATTCAAAATAAATTCAAACTTAAAAACAGACAATAATGTATTGTCGGGGGGGCTGCGGTGGCTCACATGGTAAGATGCTGGGCCTGCGCAACGCTGAGATCAACAGCTCGGCGGTTCGATTCCCGTGAGCAAATGAACTGTGGAAGGGACAAGAAAGGAACCTTCCCCAATTGGCTACCAACATTCAGCCATCCCACAGGTAAAGAGAACACCATCCAAAATCATTCCTTTCACAGAGGCAGCCAGCCACCTTGGTGATCCCTGGCTAACATGTGCCATATGCTAAAGAAGTAAATAAATTGTATTTTCATCAAATTTTTATTTCCCTTGCAGTCAGAAACAAATATATGATACAAAATAACCCCCAATGTATCCGAAACGTTAAACTTCAAAAAATGTAATTTGACTTCATTCTTACGAATGTCAACATTTTTGAAACATGAAAGAAAGAGAGAGAGGGAGAGAGGGAGGGAGGGAGAGAGAAGGGGGAGGGAGGGAAGGAGGGAGAGAGAAAAGCAAGCAGACATCCTTACTATTTATGAGTTAAGATATACAAATGTATCCTGCCATTTGAATAAACAAAAAACAGTCAAGAAAGAAAGAATTTGCAGAAAACAGAAAAAATGAAATATTTGCAAATCAGGCACAATATATTGCATATGACTCTGAAATAAAATAATTTTTGCAGTCCCCTTGCCTGGAGTATTGACAGTCCAGCATTTGGCTCTTCTCCCACTCACAGGAGGAGCTTGAGATTTGTAGAACAAAAATATTCACATATATATTTAGCCCTTGCTTCCTATTCGATTACCCAATTAACTAATTTGTTTATTAAGTTTTTATGCCACCCATCTCACTTATAAGGTGACCTTGGATGGCTTAGCATTTTCTAATTTTAAAATAGCAACACTTATTTAATGAACTCTTATAAAAGCCTAAGTATTTCATGGGGGAAGGGAGAGAGGAAGAAAGACAGGATAAATTTCCTTAGCTTTCTTTCCAGTTACTCCATTCAGCTATCTCATTCAAGCTCAGAGTAAGAGACTTACTTTTGTAGCAAAAGACACTTTCTATATTGCTATAATAGATATTTAACATCAGTATTACCAAAAGCCTGCAAATCTGCTCATCTTAATCTTATTAACTACAATTACAGAGACATTTTTGTTGTATCCGATATATTTATTAACTACACTCAATAAATAGATGCTTGTCTTCATGTGACTGATTCTCAAAATCAAATAATATGGTTTTAAATGATTAAATAAATGAATTTAAGTTTTAAGTGAAGACTTGGTGCCACATTTAAAATATCTACTATAACTCAATTAAATATTGAATTATTTTGACCATTTAAAATGTCAATAGCAAAAGAATGGGAAAATGTGACTATTACAAGTAATCCTTAACTCAACCATTCATTTAGTGACTACTCGAAATGAAAACATCACTGAAAAAAGTGACCTATGAGCATTCTTCGCACTTATGATCATTGCAGCATCCCCGTGGTCATGTAATGAAAATTAAGGCAACTGGCATGTATTTACAATGGTTGCAGTATTCCAGGGCGTACAACTATCATTTGCAATCTTCCTAGCTGGTTTTTAACAAGCAATGTCAATGGGGAATAGCCAGATTTTCTTAATGACTCTGTGAACAACTGCAGTAATTTGCTTAATAAGTGTGGCAAAAAAAGATTGTAAAACTAGGCACAAATTACTTAAAAGCCACCTTACATAGCAACAGAAATTCTGGTCCCAATATCAAGAGCTATCTATACCAGCAATCTGAAATTACTGATAAGATATTCAATGCAGGTTAACAAATCAAAGTATTGGAGGGGGGGATCTATTTTAAACAGCTCCAGGATGCCAAGTGAGACCATCGCCAAGTCAAGCTTGGTTCCTGGTTACTGCACGCATAGAGGTACTCTGGCAGTATTATAGAAGTAGTTGCCACTATCTTCTTCCAAAATACTTTTTTGATAACGGCATAATTAGCTATGTGCAGCCAAGAGCTTATTTTCACACACAACAGCAATTTGGACTGCATGGCAAATCTGACAAAACATTACAATGAGGAAAACTTATCTGGAAGGAAGCGCCAATGAAAGCACCACAATTAGACTGCAAGTTTTGTTTATAACCCCTGTCACATAAACAATGGTGACTGTCCTGATCCATCTTTGCAATGATTTTACTTCATTTCTACTGAAAGGAACAGGTGCTGGCCCAGTTGGCATGTTGAGTTAATTAGTCATCTGATGGACATTTAGCCTTTTTGAGTCTGCCTGAGCAATGTGCTGTTATTATCTTCACTCAGCAACACAATCTTATTTCTCAAAAGAACTCACATAAATACTCTCAATTTATTGCACCATGTCATCATACCTTTGTGCAAACAGCAATATTATGTCCATATACGTATTAGTTTTTAATTCAACCAGGGGGTAATTGACAGGAAATGTTATAAACTGAATCAATACTCCTCTTTCTGTTCCCACAGTTTTCCTTAGTCATAATCACTCACCCTCCCCAGCATTGTTCTCCTCTGGAATATTCTATCCACCAACAGAAACACCAGACAGTTAGAAAGAAATCAGTAAACAAGTTTATGGACTATAATAGAGACACATTTGGTCCTGTTTTTAATAACAATCTTAAAACAAATCTGAACAATATAAAAATAGCACAAGCCCTATCTAACAGACTCATTCCTGCACTGGCACGTGCCTACATCTTACCTCTATTGTCTTCCTTCATTTGCCCAAATTTCCACTGCTGACAGAGCGTTAGCAGTAGGAAAATTCATCACCAAGAGCAGCATGTGGTAATAGGAAGAAGGATGGAGAAGTTGCTATGATTTAATCATTTTTAAAAGGAGTCCTAAAAATGCATTGTACAGCCTGACTAGTATTTACAAATAGTTTATGATTAATAGAAATTTGAATAATGCAATATTTTGACGTTCAGTGCAAATTATTAATAGATTCAAGCTCATATTCAATGTAAGCCAAAATTCTGTTAGTGTGAGAGTAACACAGTATGGTTGGGACTAGCACGCAGTTGCCATTGGGGTTTTAGATACTAATTAATTTAGATACATGAGCCCTGGTGGCGCGGCAGACTAAAGCACTGTTATTAACATCAGCTGCCTGCAATTACTGCAAGTTCAAATCTCACCAGGCTCAAGGTTGACTCAGCCTTCCATGCTTTCTAAGGTAGGTAAAATGAGGACCAGATTGTGGGGCAATAAGCTGACTTTGTATAAAATATACAAAAGTATGAAGGCTATTGCTTAACGCATTGTAAGCCGCCCTGAGTCTCTGGAGAAGGGCGGCATATAAATCAAATTAAAAAAATAAATAAATAATAATTGTCCTTTGGGCAAAATGAAGAAAAGGAAAAGCTCACTTCAAGGAAAGTTCAGAAAACAACTGGCTGATTTGAAGCAGAATACCTGAAATGGCAGGTACACTTTGTATAGGGCTTTGTATTCCTTTA